GACACCATTGTGATATATGTAGTCACAAAGGCTGTCTGATTCCTACAACCCATATTCCCATCTGGGAACCTCTTTAATGCTGGCAGTGAAAGTCAGAGACACCATTGGATTATGCATCAGAGCGTGTGATCAACAACATCCACCTTCCTTTTTTTCCTGTGCAGTCTTGGAAGTTTTAACCTTTTGTCAAGCATCAAGATGAGATCTTTCAAAAACACAAATAGGCCTTGTTTGTCGTGCTTCCCTATCTCTTTTGTTGTTTACCCAACGTTCCAAGTGTGTATCAATTTTATCACCCAATGCTCTTCTTAGGATGAGATGTGTTCGAAGGAAGCCACCACCCCAATTTGGACGGTGCTCTTTGAGAGCTATCTGTACAGATGTGTATGAAATTCTGCACTTTCCATTGATAAACAAACAAAAAAACAAACTATTCAATAAGATACTGAAACCACTGTACTCTGATAATATGATAAACGCTGGGTTGAAAATACTTTGAATTTAAAATGGTGGTTACGGATATGGGATACAATCCCATGTACTTGTATGATTGATTATATATATCCTGAGTTCAAAAGGAACCAAAGACGTAAAGTGATCAGTAAGTACACGTGACTTCATTTTGAATGTGGTTATTCAAACTTACATTTTGAATAACGAGCTTGAGCCTCAGTCATAAGGCGGTTAGCAATTTGACGGTCTATACCCATGGAGGTTAGAGTGGATTCAGTAAGTTGGACACTGGGTATCAAGTCAGTCCACGACTTGATACCCCCTTCTTTAAGAAGCTTTCGAGTTCTTTCATCTTCAAATTTGATGTCACAGTCAGCAAGAAACAACTCCATCTCAATCGAATGAGAGGTCGAGGGGTTATTGATCTCGAGGGAGATTGAGCTACTAGCACTTTCGCTTTCCCAGTCGCTTTTGAAATCACTAGACACATAAATCGGTTCTTTGCTTGAACCTTTGGGTTCTAGACCATAAATTGTAGACAAAAGAGTTCAGTATAGGGAACTGTGACTGAATAAAACTGGAAACTCTGCTCACGTTCTTCCCCTTTGATCTTCTTGAGGTCGGGCTTGATATCCGTCATTTTGCTGGATCCGGATGCAACACATTTGTTGCCAATTTTTGCCAAGTCGTGTTTGATATCAGCCATAACGCTAGACTTCGCTTGCAATTGTCGAGCACGTCCTTGTAAACAAATGTTGACCCGATCATCCACACCCATATCAGGGTGAATCCACTGGCTCTTCTTGATTTCATCCCAGAACTCGGGCGTATTGGGAGGTATGTCATCAGTCGCTATGTTGGCCATCTACATGATCGAAGTGTAGTCAGTTGAATACACTCCAAATTTTGTACATAATCAAGCATACGGATCATGCACTTACCATGCCTTGAGCCCAGATCCAGGCAGCCGCGTAAGTCAATCAATAATGAAATGATGGCTTCCAAGGAAGCGTCAATAGCTTACCAGGTCCTCTGGTATGCTTTTCAATGGCATGTTGGCTAAAGATAGTGTTAGCGTGCGTTGCTAACTCTCTGTTGTGCTTGGTTTCCTGCGAAGAAAGATTGTATTTAAAAAAGACTCAATGATCATGAAAAAATTATACTCACCTTGGATTCTTGAACTTCTGGGCCACCTCCGCTAGTTGTTGCAATGAGCTTCTTAGTGGCAGATGCCTGTCAATGCAAATATATTAGACTGCAGAACTGAATGAGGAGGAACAAGAATGATATTACAGGGGAGAAAGATAACTCACCTTATTCCCCACTTTAGCTCTAACTTGCACGTTATCATTCTCAATCAAAAGCATTCTTTTTTTTGATTGATTTATTGAGAGCATCAACAAAATTTTGCCAATGAACTGCACTATCAAGAACAACCTTGAAGCGTCCGACATTGGTCTTCCACTTTAGGTCGGGTGCAAAATCACTATTGAGAATAATATTTTTCATACCAGTCTTGTACTTTTCACACACTTCAGCAACCATGTCCTTAAATTCATTCAAACTCTTGCCAAACAGACAAGTCTTGAGCTCTAAATAACTGTTGATAGCTCTAGAATCAATTACATTGAGTTTGTCAGCCTTTGCTGATTTCTTACCAGCAGCAACTCTTGGGGTGCTCGGAGTGGGTGCGTTGATTTTGACCTCCGTGTCCGTATAGATCTTGAACCGGACTTCAACCGTCATCAGATTGTTCTTTTCAAAAGTCTCTCAAGCCAGAGTTCCGACCCTGTGTAAAGGGTCTTGCCTGAAACACATTGCATGTTGATCATGTCCGACCCAATCCTCAGGTGTTTCCAAAACTGGATTGGAAAAGCAAATCAGTGGATTATGATGCCATAAAACGGTGTATTAGATCAGTACTCACTTGTGTTCATGTGGCCAATCAAAGGGGTTGCAGCCGGTGCCATTGAAGAATTTTCGGACATATTGAAAACTATCAAAAACAAAATATAACATCAGATCAACGGAAAGATCAAGAAGAAAACAAACAAGAATCTAAATCGATTGAAAGATCAAGAAGAAAACGAACAAGAATCAGCAGATGTAGAATGGAGATCTTGTATTTGGTAAAACAAAGTATTGAAGAATGATATAGAAAGTGTGAAGATAGATTCGTTCGATAAATTGTGAATTGTGATGTTAGATCTGGCTGGGATATGTAGAAATGACGGTGGTGGGTTTATAACGTGAGGAGGTGAAGAATTGATCGATTGAAATAAGGGGAAAGACATCTTATGAGATGATGTTGTTGCAATAAGAGGATGGTTTCCGGTAATCATTTTGAAAAATGAATAGCCGTAAAGAGAGAGATGGAAAACGTTAGGAAGAGGAAATGCAGAACTATTCGTCCAATCATAAGGATAGACAATACACTTCCGTCTAAAAGTCGAAAAATTTTGAGTTTTGGACTTTCAGAGTAAAATCCTGTGACGACACATCTTTTCAAAAAACTGCTGATAGTTCTTACATTGGCTGTAAGCTTAGCACAAGCCGCTGTTCGCTAAGAGCATCTCCTATTGTTCGAAGGATCCCACTATTTTCCGCCCCTTCAGCAATGATCCGGAGCCCCCTTATTTTGGGGCATTACCCAAGGAACCCAACACAACCCAAATGTTTTGTACTAAAATGTTGGTGAGTCGGACCTCAGGGGCACATTAGGGGCTCCTTACGTATCAGATCATCAAATCAAAGCCCCTCTTTAACATCATTTCGCCCTATTCCAACCAAAAGGGCGACAAACCCTGCATCAAACTTTCCGAAAGAGGAAAGAGGGGCTCTACAATCAATGTGAGCCCAGACCTTGACCTGATTCAGTCACCTTCCTCATAACACCGGCCTCCCATGAACCTTCTTCCCTCCCTCATCTTCTTTGTCCTTCTAGTTCATCACATTCTACTGCACCAACCAATTTGTACTTCCCACTCAATCTTACATTCACATACTTCCCCACATACTTTGCCCTCATACCTTAATCACGCATTGAGTTAAAAAAGGTTCGAGACAACCGTGATCAGCACCATGTCCACCCCAACCCCACTTCCACTTCCCATGCCCTCGGAATCAATGCAAGTACAAACCCTCACCCCGAGTCAACATCAACATACCCCATACACCACTAATTCTACTCAGCACCATCAACTCGCACCACATCCTTCCCACACTAATGCTTTTGAACCTCATCCACCACATCCTCCCCACACTAATACTTTTGAGCCTCATCCTCATCATCCTTTCACACAACATCCCGTTCCTATTCCATTTGTACCTCAACACCCCCCTAGTAATCCACTTCAATCATATTCCGCCTATCTCGTTATGCCACCACCTTGGCACAACGGAACCTATCATACGGGTTACGCTACCCCAATGAATCCTCATCATCCATTCACTTACCCTTTCCAACAACAGTATCATCAATCTCTTTCGTATATTCCTCCTTCTGAACCAACAGGAATGCCCTCCCCTTGGCCACACTCGACTTATAACCCAAACCCATCCAGCTCGTTGTACGGAAACCCGGTTGATACAAATTTACAACATCAACCTCATTACCAACACACCCTGTCCCAGCATCATTCAAACTCAGATTCCGCAAATAGTGGCGTTCAGACTTCGGCTTCATTAACTGTGACTATTCCCAAGGAAACTTTGACTATCGAAGATCCCAGTCCATCTGTTCTTTCTGTTCCAACTCAGTCGGCCGAAGCAACTCCATCTCCTAGTGTTAGCAACCACGTCATAGAGGACGTAATCATGGCTGGAGCAGATCTTGACCAACACACATTTGATGACGAACGCGACGCAGACTGGCCCGCTATTGGTATGTAGTTTATGTATTTCAATTCTTCTGAAGTTCGTTTGTTACTGTTTCTAATGAACCGTTACACACTTTGATTTCAGGTGCTATTCCCGTTTGTACACTTAGACCTCCAATCATCGGAAAGGAGTTCAATGAAATGGAGAATGGCTTGAAGTACATGAATGCTGTAGCTCGATATCAAGGCTACGGGTTGGCTATCAAGAGCCACAAAACGAAGCATCACCAAACGATTCGAGTTTATTTGGGTTGCTCTCTCGGTTACAAAACAAAAACAGCAGCTAAATCAGTAGCCAAGAAACGTACATCCTCCACCAAGAAGACCGGATGCAAATTCGAGTTGTCTCTTAACTACAATTCAAGAGCAGACCAATGGATTGTGACCCACAATACGAAGAAGGTGATGAAACTCCACCACAATCATCCACCATTCAATCAACCCCACAACCTCTCTCTATACCGGCGATTCAATCCTGCCACCCTTGAGAAGATATCTCTTCTTTCTTCTATCGGTTGCCGTGCAAACCAAATTCGTCAATTAATCAAAGTCGAGCCAGGGTCTCAGCCTTTAGTACGAGACATTCATAATGTCAGGTCACGCCCAGAGACACCTGGCTTAACGGGCAATCTCCAATCCAAGGACTCTTTGACCTGATAACCGAGAGTCAATGGGCTCATCGAACTTTTTTTTGCCAGCCCAACAGCTATTTGTCTGGCTCGGCGTTTCTCCACTGTACTCAGCCTGGATTGTACCTACAAAACCAATTGCTTCAACCTCCCTTTGTTACATATAGTCGGTACAACTAACACTAACAGGAGTTTTACTGTCGCTATGTGCTTCCTCAAAAGCGAGGTGACAGCTGAGTATGAGTGGGCCTTGACCCAACTCAAGGACGTTATTTATCAAAATGAGGACAACACAACCACCGTTCAATTACCACAAACCTTTGCCAAAGATGCTGAACCGGCTCTATTTAACGCTATCGCAAATGTTTTTCCAGATGCTACACACATACTTTGTGTGTGGCACATCAACATCAACGTAGCTAAAAATTGCAAATCAAAGTTTTCCGAAACCGAATGGACGGACTTCATGAAACTCTGGAACACGTTTATTGCATCTAGCACCCAAACCAATTACGACACCAATCTTGAGGCTGTCACTAAGACCGCCAAGGATCATCATGTATTTGATTATCTTCAAAGTACATGGCTACACCGGACGGAAAAATTTGTTACTTTGTTTACTTCTTCATCGCCACACTATGGCAACTCTTTGACCTCTCGCGTCGAGGGCTGTCATTACCGAGCAAAAAGATTCTTGGACGGTCGAAACGGTGACTTCCTCACGTGCTTCAAATCCTTCAAACGCTATGAAGAGCACCAGATGAATGAAATTTCGATTTTGGTAGGCATTGAGATGACTAAAAAACTTCAAGGTATGCCTGCTTTCTTCAATGAACTGCATGGCAAAGTCTCTCATTTCGCACTGAAGAAGCTCAAGGCTCAGTACGACTTGCTGCCTGATTTAATCCAAAAACCTTGTACTCATACTTTTTGAGGGTCTTGGGGCATTCCTTGCTCACATGAAATTGCGGCGGCACAAGACACCACGGACTACCTTTCACCCGAACTCATTGATTTCCAGTGGAAATTAATTATGGAAGTACCTCCTGAAACTCAAGAAGGTCTACTTACAGCTGCCCGTTCAAAGTTCGCTCAATTTTTGGAGTTGCCCGAACACGCCCTTTGCAAAGTTTTCAGTGAAATGATTCTTTTAGAAACCAGTTGCTATTCGCTAGTTCCTATTGTAAATGCCGAAATCAAGACTGATACTCGAGGCCGTCCTCGTGCCAGTGTTTCGAAATTAACTGCAGCCTCACAAGAAGGACCTCAAGGCCGATGGAAGTCCAAACAAGAGATAGACGAGACAATCAAGAGCAAACGAGTCAACAAATGCAGTGGTTGTAGGTCCCCCAACCACCGAATCACCAAGTGTCCTCACCGTGCAACGCAAACAACTCAAGATACAATTCAAGAAGACTTACCTTTGAAAATCTCACGAGTGTTACCAGACGTGCAAATTATTGAAGATAACTTAGCATCTCAAGACGAGTCAGAAGCCGAATGCGAACATGAAGTTGATTCAGATGTTGATATGAGTGAATCGAGTGAATCCTCTGATTCTTTCAAAGATGAAGATGAGGACGTACCAGATGAAGCCCTGTGCCCGTTTTGCGACGATCCGCTACCCGCCAACCCTTCTAGTAAACTGCTCGAGTTGAAGGCCACCCTTTTGGCAATGCCGAACATCCGCAAAGGTATTGGACGCCCAGGGGCTATGTCTTTGCCGGTTAGTACAAGTCTATCTCTTTGATTTACATGGTTACTGTTGATCTCATATGTTTGTTTTTGGTGTTTACAATATTGCAGTTCACCCAGACTGCTGACTTTTGTCATCTACATCAGGCGGAGTGCAACACCATTCCTTTAGGGGTTGCCCAAGGATGGCCAACCATCATTGACTTCGATGGTTTGCAAATGTAAGTAATATCAATCAATCTGGTTATCTAAGTAGTGCTTGTGCTAACCTTCTATATCTTTCTTACTCAGTCGTATCAACAGACACACTCAGCTTTTGACTAATATAGTCAACAGAAGTGAGCCATCTCATTACTTTGACGTGGCCATGAAGAAGGGCAAATGAAGTCAAAATCGCAATCAAAAGATGGCAGCTCAGCTTGTTGACTTTGAGGTCGAGCAACCTGGATAGTGCGTCTATCTACAACTTTTTTTTCTCATATCAGTGCTAATGGCTAATGAATTTTCTTGACAGTTATGGATATGAAGGTTACGATATCATTATAAGAACCCTGGAGGGGACATTCATCCGGGATCCATCATCACCACATCACCTTGACTCGTCAAAAGCTGCCCCCCTCACTCCGGATCATTTCCTTCGACAAGTCCTACTCCCAGAAATCACTCTGTGCTTAATTGCTGAAGATATGAACCTCGAACGAAGTGATCCTCAAGTTCAGGCGACTTTGGAAGCAAGCCGTGAGTTTGGTGTGGCGGTCTTTCCTATGCCAGAAGATTCCAGACCTATTGGACCAACAGCGAACCATCCACAAAAAGAACCATCAACATCAACAACTGCCTTGTCCCAATCCAGTGCTGCGGCTTTGCCCCACGATGTCAACCTCGTGAAACAACTGAACTCATTGAAGGCCCATTCGGACGAATTGGTGATGGGTCAACTACCTCTGGTGGTTGTGCCATTCATTGAATCTGTGTACAATCCACCACCTTATGGCAATTGCGGTTACGATGCCATTGCTCAAGCACTCCACATTAACACCGAAAATGCTTATGCGTTAATTCGCCATCAATTACGTGAGGAGCTCTCCTTTAACATGGTCGCTCACGAACAATTGATAACCACACCAGGAAGTAACAAGCCACGCCGCACCACTCGTTTTTCTGTTCAAAGCAAACCTTACTCCTCCGAAATCATACAGGATCTGCTTGTTTGACTTCAATCCCAGGGATCAAAATGTACTCAGGAGTTTTGGATGTGCATGCCTTACCTTGGCTATGTAATCGCAAGTGCTTACAAGTGTCCTGTCATCTCTTTGGATCCTCGCGAAGTCTATTCATTCTCCTTTTTCCCTTATCGCACCCCTCCAAACGACAACGATCCGATAATCCTGGCCTTTGTCAATGGGAATCATTGGGTCAGTTTGGGATTTGGGGCTCGTTTGATTCCTTTTCCTGAGGTTTTCAACCACAGCGTCTCAGCATCAATTGTACACTCACAGATACCTGCTTGGGTTAAAAAGTATACAGTGCAGATGGGTTGGTGGGTAAATCAAGGTACTAGGTGCACTTAGACTGCTTCAACACTGTTTTTTTTTTCATTCTCAACCGTTCTAGTCCTTCGTTTGTACCTCGCTGTTGTCTTTTTGTACTTAATCTTATGTATGCTTATGCCCTACCTATGTTGTCCGTTCTTAACATTTGTATGCTACGAAACATGTTTCTTTGTTCAATCTATATGCTATGCTATGATTATTGATTATGCGCCCACATCAATGACTTGTGCTTGTGCATTAGATTGAGTCTGCATGCTAAACTAAGCGTAAGCGAACAATTGAACGAAAACATGAGAGGGAGAAGCCGTGAACCCAAATTGCATGAATGAATGAGGAGCCCCTTTCAAAGAAGCGGAGCCCTGACAGGAGCCCTCCTTTATAGAAAGGGGCTCTGAATTGGCTCATCGCCCTAGGTCCGGTCCGACAGGGGGCTCCGGATACTGATCCGAGGGCGGAAAATAGTGGGATCCTTGTTCGAATAAATTTTCAGTAAATTTTCAGTATGTAGTTGTTTGATACAGTATCAATTGGTACAGAACTGTGGAAATCCACTATCGTTGAAAAAAAGGGCCTCGGTACAGGACCCAGGAATGCTCCTGTAGAGGTTGGTGTCGAAACCCGATTTTGGGTTTTTGGGCTCTATACTGCACACCAATGCTCGCCTCAGGCTGCAAAGCACCTCAAAAGATGCGCATGGGTGAGGGCTATCCAGAAATATAGGTTAGAGCCGCACCGCTTTGCTCACTGCGGCGTAAATCGCAAAGGCGCGATTTTTTTTTGGGTCCCCAAGGCCCCATTCCGACCTTCGATTTTTGACTGTTACATTGCAATATCTCAGCGAAAAGGGGTACTACAGGGTTGAAAATAGGCTCATTCGAAAGCTCTCGTCTAGGCGCATCTTTTGAGCTACTGTAGCCCTTGTAGAAGTGTCGGCGAGTGTGTCTATCACCCAAAAACCTCGCAGAATCAAGGTCGGAATTTACGACACCAACCTCTACAAGAGCATTCCTGGGTCCTCTCGGTACAGTACCAACTGGTGAGAACGATGGTTTCCCCGCTAACTTAACTAAGTCCCCTCCTAGTGTCCGGGGGGGACTTAGTTAAGTTAGGTTTCCCCGCAGATACCGAATCGGTAGAGGTCCAGTTAATTTACTTGACCTCTACAGATTTTTCACCAATTCAGTAGGTACTGAGCAGTATTTTTGACATGATTGGGGATTTTGACGCTCGGTACGGTTAAATATACCGTACCGAGGCCACTTACCGAGACGATAGGAGATGCTCTTAACCGGAGCTCAGAGGCCAAAACCCTCTGTTCGGTTCGATCACTTGGAGCTGGTACTACCTTTGCTAAAAAGCTTGCCCGGTTTGATCGCGAACAAGAGACAAGAGAGGTTGAATTTGGCCGCAGCCTGCTGCGAGGCCGCTGCGCAACTCGTCAAGATCCCAAATTTGGCAGATCACAAATTCTAAGAGATCGACTGCACCTGTGGATCTCTGACTTCAACCAACTCTGAGACACATTATGATGATATTCACAGCATATCTGGAGCTTGATATGTCAAGATCAGCCATACAGTCAAGTGCAGCTCTGATTAGGTGCTATCGAGAATGGAAATCGCCGTTGTGTTCCATAGCACTCCTGGTGTAATGGTTTGAAGTAGTGGTTATGGTCACGCTGTCGACTCAACCGGTAGTAGTGCGTTCAAGCCTTCATAGGCTTTTGTGCTTTTTTGTTTTGGCTTCATGAGATGAAAAGTACAAGTCAAAAAAGGACAGCACCTTTTTTTTGAAAATCTTTTGTTCTTCTTGCTCAGTCAAGAGCTCAAATGAGGTCACCATAGGATGACGATTGTACTGACACATGTCAAAGATGCCTTGATTTCATTTCGAAGTTTCAGCAAAAAAGTCCAGTCGATCGGCCTTGATCCCATGCTGGCAAGAGCACTAACATTATCAGCTCACACTGAATCAAGCCGTTCGACTACAATTGCTTCCTGTAGTCCTGATTAAAGCTAGTCTCCATAGTACCCGCAGCGCAATAGAAATCGCATAGAAGTGTGAGCACGAATTCAGCATGATGAGGTAGATATTTGTGCTTTATGCTTGATCTCAACATATCCCAAAGTCAGAGATCCACGGGTGAAGTCGATCTCTTTCAGAATTTGTGATTGGCCAAATTTGGGATCTTGACGAGTTGCGCAGCGGCCTCGCAGCAGGCTGCGGCCAAATTCAACCTCTCTTGTCTCTTGTTCGCGATCGAACCGGGCAAGCTTTTTAGCAAAGGTAGTAAAAGAAAAATACGAACAGGGTCCAAGTGTGAAACGACAAGTGGAAAATTTGAACTTGAGATGCCCTAATGTTTCCATGCTTTCCCAGAGCATGCTCCCACCGGCTCCCACCAATGAGCAGAACTAAGCCCTATCAGTTGATGTCGTATCTGACACGGCTTGGTTACCTTTCAACTCTAGAACTTGTGGCGACGCTAAGCTTAACTAAGCCCCTCTTGGACGAGCAAGTAGTCGAGAGAGGGGCTTAAATGGGACTCGCGTTTCATGGCGGGAGAGCTCCAGAAATTAAGTACCTTTATGTACTTTTCTGGAGCTCTCCTCAAATACTCATTGTGGGATTTCTCAAGGTTCAGATATGTGTAGCTTCATGAGAAGCTACACAACCTCGTACCACTTTCAGCAAGATTTGTTGGAAGTAAGGGTATTCAAAACGGATTTCCAGTTTGTTGCAATGTGTAGCTGGCTATTTCAGACCAGGAGGCTGAAATGGCAGCTTCGTCGGAAACTACCAATTTCTTGACAAAACACCACAAGGGTTTCGTCTTCGTAAAAACAATAAAGGACCTCGCGCCACCGGGATAAGTGTCCCTCGATATCCAAGGGTTTTGATGAATATCTTAAGGGTTTTAGCTTTTATCCATTTCGGCGGCAGTTTCGGCGAAGGACCAAACATCCAAATCTCGGTGAAGGCCAGTACAGGCCTGTACTGGCATGCTTAGGCTGTTACAGGAGGACGTAAGAAACCATTTGCGCAACGTTTCCTGAAAGCGTCACAGCTCTCAGTTGTTGATGAAAGTGGTACGAGGTTGTGTAGCTCCTCATGAAGGAGAACATACCTGAACCTTGAGAAATCCTACGGTGAGGAATTGAGGAGAGCTCCAGAAAAGTACATAAAGGCACTTAATTTCTGGAGCTCTCCCGCCATGAAACGCGAGTCCGATATAAGCCCCTCTGCGAGGGCGCGGCGAACGCGCTAGAGGGGCTTAGTTAAGCTTATGGCGACGCCGATTGATGAGGCTCGAAGTTAAGTGCGCACGAAGTCAATCAGTTGATCGGTCAGTGGCTATAGAAACAAGATATTCTTCACTTCAACTCGCCGCGTAAAGTATAAAAGCCTCAAGAGCTGATCAGGATGTTGATCGCTCTGTCATCATTCTCATATCAATCTAGCACTGGTGCACTCTAGCAGGCAATCTGTTTTTCTCATCATATATAATCTGTCTTTCCCATCGTAATCCGTAGATCTCATCACGCTATCCATCCGTATTTTTGAATCATCTTGAACACACAACATGCCACTTTTGAATCTCTCGCTCTTGATCTCCATAGCTACCGCAGCCCTCATTCATGTTACCAGTCAAGCTGATACTGCTCTTAAAGAGCGTCACCCACGATTAAACTTCGAGAGCTGTACGAAGGCTAAAGGCTGTGTGAAAATCAAGGCATCCGTTACATTAGACGCAACGTATCGGAAATTTCATTCTAAAGAAGATCCAAGTAAACCTTGTCTCGTAAAGGGAAGTTGGGACCCAGAATTATGTCCAAACGAAGTCGAATGCTTGAAGAATTGTGTAACAGATGGAGTTTCCGATTATTCTGAATTCGCGGGTGTTTCGAATCCGGACGATTCTAGTGTTAGTTTGAAATTAGTCGTAGAAAATAAGGAAACGAAGGCAGTCAGTATAGGCTCAAGAATTTACCTTTTAGATGATAATGGACGTTATGTGATTCATAAGTTGAAAGGAAAAGAAATCTCTGTCGATGTCGATGTTTCTCGTATAGGTTGCGCAGTAAATGGGCAGTTCTACTTGACTGAGATGTCTGAAGATGGAGGATCGAAAAACCAATCATTCATGAATACTGCTCAACCTGGATCCTTCTCCGGAACGGGTTATTGTTCGTCTGCATGTCCTGCAGATCTTGCGTTCATCGGAACTGAGGTTTGTTTTCTGTTTATGAATGTCAAAAATTCGAATTCACAGCTAAAGTTTTTTTATTTTTGCTTTTGATATATGTAGATCAATCTTGAGCTTAAACGCAAAGGTGCAATCCCCAAAGGAGCTTGTTGTAATCACATGAGTCTCATAGGAACAAATGCTTTTGCTCAAGTAATGAACGCACATTCATGTGCGGCTTCTGGTCAGAAGATCTGTACCGGTAAAGAATGCGAACAAGGTCCGGAAGGTATATGCGATAGAAACGGTTGCGAATTCAATCCTTATAGAATAGGTTCACCGGACTTTTTTGGACCAGGGAAAACTGTTGATTCAGCATCGCCATTCAAGGTTGTCACACAATTCATCACAGACGCAAAAGGTGAATTATCGGAGGTTAGAAGACTATATGTTCAAGGTGGTAAAATCATTGAAAACGCTCACGGTGGGTATCCGAAATTAAAATCCTTTAATTCGATTACAAATGAGTTTTGTAGTGAATCAGCAAAAGTCTTTGGTGGGCCAGACAAATTTACCGACATGGGTGGTCTCAAGCATTTAAGTGATAGTTTAGATCGTGGAATGGTATTAGTAATGAGTTTATGGGATGATAAAGGTGACGATAACATGTTGTGGTTTGATGGCGCCTTTCCTCCTGATGTTGATCCGAAAAAGCCGGGCATAAGTCGTGGTCCTTGCACACGTGCAGATAGTAATGCGACAGACTTTGAACTTAAAAATCCAGAGGCATTTGTTCAATTCTCTAATATTCGTGTTGGCGAACTGGATTCAACATACACCTAGGCTACTCTCTTCAAATTTAGTGAATAACCAAGATGTTTTTGATCTCATCAATTTCTTTTTTTGTCTTGTGATTGTCTCCTGTCATGTTCCGTGATGATGTATTTTTTCTACGCTTTGGATTTCATGTGAGGAAATGAGAGCATGTAGAAGTAATATCATTCTAATCTCTTACCAACCCAATGCTCACTTTTGATAAGTGATGTTTGCCATTGCATTTGATCAAGCTAGCCCGTCATCATCAAACACCCAAGCGTAGACCTCTCCTATCATGAGTTGATATCAGCCAACATGACCGACCAAGAATCTTGATGAGGTAAACAAACCTTGAAGTGGTTATTAAATCGTTCAGGTGTTGGGCAGCTAGCTTGCGTCTGTAGATTTAACTTCCAGGATACTTTGGGTACCACCAGCACGAGAATTCGTACGTTCTGATGGTATCAGAGATCGCAGATTGCCTTGACATTCCCAAGTTAACTGAAGGTATGGATTATGATTTTAATGTTGAGTTGTTCACCCTTTTTGAGGGTTGGTCGCAAATGGGGCGTTGTAACAGCACACGCAGAGCGAGTCAGTACTTTATTCCCCTTCTGTCGCATGCCCATGTAGATTTGGGCTGTCAACCTTTCACGGTCTATGGGTTGAACTGAAGACAAGTGTTGAGCTGATATATGTCTGCAACTATCCTGATGTGATACCTCCAATATAGCTACTTGAACTGAAGCTGTGTAATAAATTCAGGTTACTGCTTTCTCTTATCATGATCCAAGAGTCACCTATGATTGCTGATTTATAGACAGCAGCAGGCGGTTGTTGTGAAAGCGCCACAATCACTTTAATATTTCCCAATTTCACGTATGGATAACCTGTACATGGCTCTAGGTAGGTAGAAACGTTGAAAGCATGAAAAAGAACAAATCGATCATGAAATCATAGTGGTTGCATCTACAAATTAGAACGATCAAACGAAGTATGTATAGAGCTTCTTCATCTCAGACAAGAAACAAAAAAGAACGAGAACAAAAACAAAAGCGTGTTACAATCACAATGTACCATGCGCAGATCTGAGCGGAACTGTTTGAATGTCACAAAAAAGCTGAAAAATTTAAGGATAAGTTGAGTCTAGTTCGCCGATTCGAATGTTACCGTATTGAACAAATGCATTTGGATACTCATTTTCAATCAGTGTTGTGTTCCCTTCCGCGGGCGTGCAAGGACCACGAACCACGCCAGGCTTTGTCGGATCTGCATCAGGAGGAAAGGTGCCGTCCAACCAAAGCATGTCGGTGTCACTTTTATCATCCCATAAACTCAACACTAAGACCATTCCACGATCTAAACTTTGTCCTAATTTTTTAAGACCACCTTTCTGTCTAAATCGATCTTCTCCTCCAAAGAGTGCTGTAGAGGCACTACAAAAATTGTCTGTAATTGAATTATAAGGCTTCAATTCCGGATACACGGGGTGCGCATTTTGAATAATTCGACCCTCTTGAACATATATCCTTTTGATCTCTGCTAAATCACCATATGAATCTGTAATAAATTGTGTAACTATTTTCAATGGTAAAGTAGAATCGACGGTTTTGCCTGGTCCAAAGAAATCTGTTGAACCTAATCTGTAAGGATTGAAATCACAGCCCGCGCAGAATCCCTTTGGACCTTCAGGGCATTGATCACCCATGCAAGTTGATTGACCTGTGCGACTGCATGGATGTGGGGTGAAAGCTTGAGCTAAAGCGTTAGACTCCAAGATATCCATCTCAGGACAGCAATTTCCTTTGCGTGGTGCACCATCTGCGGGGGGATTCAAATTGATCTATAGATGATTGAAGATGAGGAATCAGTTTTGTTCCCAATTCTTCAACTTGACAATGATAGGGTGGTATTTCGAGGAATAAAGACACATACCTCTCCTCCGTTGAAAGCAGAATCCGAGGGACATTGAGCATCGCAGTAACCCGTTCCATAATACGATCCCTGATAACCGGTATTCATAAAGGCTTGGTTATTCGAACCTCCATCCAAAGACATCTCACTCAAGTACAATGCACCATTCATTCCACAAGTCAAACGAGAAAGATCAACGTCAAAGGAGATCTCTCGTCCTTTCAACTTATACAACAAATAACGTCCATCTTGATCCAAATGATAAAGCCTCGAACCGATGTTTTTTCTCTTTGTTTTCTTGTCCTCTGAAACTACAAACTTCATATTCACACTACTACCAGACTGATCCGAATTGTAAACACCCGCGTATTCTTCATAGTTAGCAATCCCACCTGCATCACAATTCTTCAAACATTCATCTAGATTTGGGCATAATGATGGATTCCAACTTCCATTCTCAAAGCAAGATATCTCTGGATTTTGTTTAGACGGAAATTTTCGCCAATGTACATCTACTGTAACAGTTGCCTCGATCATCCGACAACCTGTGGCCTTTGTACACTCCTCATAATTTAAACGGGGTTGAGATTCTATAGAAGAGGTGTAAACTTGACTTACAAGAAGAGCTGCAGTCGCTAATAAGGTAGTAAGATTTGAAAGTGGCATTGTCGAGGTGTGTTGATGCAATTATGTCAAAAAACCGATCGGTCACAACTGATGAGCGCGCAATTTCAGAACGAAGAGGGAACAATCTGGTTCTTCAGCGTCTGAGGATTGCATTTATTCATTTGTGTGTGTGAATGGTTATTGCATCTTTGCTAAAAATACCAGTACATAATCGAGTGACTGATACTGCTATATTGCATCAATCGAGGTGGATTACTTATCTCTGGTCTTTAATTCTCGAGTGCATTTCAATCGTGGTCATAAAAGTAATTATCTACGACGTGACCTGGTTAATTTGGACTCTTTTGAACTCTGTGCTCACTCAGGCTCACTCAACGTCGAGGAAAAGCTAAAATGAAGTCGTTAGAACTTCGTCACTGTCGTCCATCGGGTTTTACCATTTCATCTTTCTCACACTCACACTCACGATCCCATCCGATGGAAATCAAAACCATTGACCTTCAGCGAGGTCATCTACACCGGTGGTCATCTACCTATGTACATATGGAGAGTCATGGAAAAGGCTGTGAATATAGAAAAGAACCGCGGTCACCACCGGTTTGTGTGGTATATACAGCTTTGGTTCCCTTGTCGGCCCTTCCGAAGCATCCACTTCCTAGGATGCAACGGCTCGCCTGCACGGTTTTGGAATGTGTCATTGTTCTCAAAGAAGTGAGCAGATACATTGATGATTTGATGGCTCTCAGCATCTCTTAGTGCTTCGACAATTTCCTCAAACAGCTTTTGTCGCGTACAATCTATCTACGTACATACATGTATTCAAGGACAGCAGACGACAGCATATTGTGGCTATGAGTCAACAACAAAACACGCCCAGTGAATATTAAACTTGCAGCGCTTTGGGTGGTTGCAGTCACAAGTTTCTTTCAAATTTATTTAAAAAGTGAGCATATGAACAAAAAACTTATTTACAATTGGTCAAGAAAGATCAAAGCCTACATAATGATGAGTCATATACAAAACAAAAAGGAAGATAAAACAAACAGGTTTTTCACAACCGAAAATTGATACACTTTAAAGAGATCAAGTTTAGGTTGAGCATCAAAGTAAGTTCACAAATTTGGATCTACAAGAGCGTGAGTGTGATTTATAGGATTTTGAGTAGCATCAGTGTGATTTGTATGATTCTGATTAGCCTCAGTGTGATTTGTATGATTCTGAGTAGTATCAGTGTGGTTGATATGATCTGGAGTAGCCTTGGTGTGATTTGTCTCAGTGACTGCGTAGGTTGAGTCCAATTCGCCAACTCGAACATTAGAAAACCGAATGAAAGCGTCTGGAAAAGTAGCTTCGACCATCTTTGTATCACTTTCTTCCGGCGTACAAGGACCACGAACGACGCCAGGAAGTCTTGAAGAGGCATTACGAGGGAAATGACCATCTAACCATAACATATCACTTTCAGTTTTATCATCCCACAAACTCATCACCAAAACCATTCCACGTTCTAAACTTTCACCTAATTTCTTGAGACCACCTTTCGCTTTAAATTGATCTTGACCAGCACCACCTAAGACTTTTTGAGAAGTACTACAATAATTATTTGTAATTGAATCATGACGTTTCAATTGACGAATACCAGCTTTAGTATTATGAAAGACAGTGCCATTTTGAACATATAACCTTTTAATTTCTGATAAATCATGATTTGAATCGGTAATGAATTGAGTGACGATCTTAAATGGTAAGTCAGAGTTGATCGTTTTACCTGGTCCAAAAAAGTTAGGTGAACCTAATCTATAAGGATTAAAATCACAACCTGCACAGTTTCCTTCTTTACCTTCACCGCATTGATCACCAAAACACTTTTCTTGACGTGAGCTTTTGCATGAATGTGCCGTAAATGAATGAGCTAAAGCGTTGGCTTCTAAGAGATCCATTTCTGGACAACAAAGTCCTTGACGAGTGGCACCCTTTCGTGTCAGATTGACATTGATCTATATAAAGCGAGAAAAAAAGGTGAGATTGATGATTCAAATCAATCAGATAACGCGGAAAACGAACCTCAGCTCCAGTGAAAGCGAGATCTTGAGGACATTGAGCATCACAATAGCCTGTTCCGTAGTAAGATCCAGTACGATTACTATTCATGAATGATTGGTTTTTTGATCCTCCATCCATAGACATTTCAGTCAAGTAGAATGCTCCATTTAATCCACATCCTAAACGAGAAAGATCAACATCGAAAGAGATTTCTTTGCCTTTTAATTTATACATCACATAATGACCATCTTGATCTAAATGATAAATTCTAGACCCTATATTTTTCTTTTTGGTTTTCTTATCCTCTGAAACTACTAACTTTAAACTAAGACTATTATCAGATTTATTAAAATTAGTCACTCCAGTTCGTTCAGTATAATTCGAAATCATATCTATTTCACAATTCTTGCTACATTCATCTTGATTTGAACATAATCTTGAATCCCATCTTTTATCTTTTAAACATAATTTCTTTGGGTCTTTTCTTGAATGAACTTCTCTATAACTCACATCCGCTGTAACTGTTCCTTTATGCTTGAAACAGCCTTTTTTTGTACATAGCTCGTAATTGAATTTGGGTTGAATTTCCGTAGGAGTGGTATGTACTTCTTCTGAAGATTGAGAAAGGGCTATAGACGCTAAGAGAGTAAAAATTGATAACTTGGAAAGTGGCATGATGGTATTTTTAAGATGATGATATATTTCTAACAGTTCTTATCTATCTACTTTGAATATGATATATGTACGATATGAGCGATGAAGTTAGGGATGAGGCAGGATGATGGTGAGCTTTTAAACCCATTATCTTGTTCATCATGAATCCGTAATGATGCGCCGATGTTTCCTGCAAAGTATGGATCGATTGTACCCATCTTGTTTTGATGAAGCTTTGATCAGCTCCTCCCTTGAATTCGAAGTTCAGTTGATTGATCACTCATTCAAAAACCAAATTGATCACCATGAAGGGAATTCTAGGGAAATCTTGATCTTGGTGCCCAGTAAGCTTGAAGTTGAGGCCCAAGATAGCGTCTATGTACTAGATGAAGTACTTGGATGTCTGTCCGACACACTATTTATGATCCTATCCCATTGATCATCAGTGACCATCCTTGACCATCTCATTGTATAGATCGGACATTTTGAATGGTCAACTTTGTAGTGCATTGTAGATGGTAAGAAGAGCGGTGGGAAGAAAAGCTGTCCCAATGGAATTTACGACTCAACACTCTGGCCACCATTCACCTCGACTCTCCTTCCAAAGGTGATCCTAGTTGAGTTCTTAGCTTAACTAAGCCCCTCGCGCGGCCGCGTCCGCGCCCGTTGAGTTCCGATACATCTTCATTTGAAAACGAACAACTCAAGCTGAAACATCATGTTGTATCTTTGATTTGTTCAAAAATAGTCTTTGATTTGTTCAGAGATAGACCTTTGCCTTTCTTTTGGTGGCCAGGTAGGAATCAGGATGTCATGGTTATTGATCAAACTATCTGGCAGCCCACCAATTCCACTTCTTTCCACAAACACATCCATAACTTCGCTTCTAGAGCACTGTCAACCAGTAGAAATGAAATTCTTTGTAGTTTTTTGACATGATCAATATCACGATCACTCCCAAATGCGCCGACGTTGCGGTGTGCATGAAAGGACCGACTTCCCAAAATTTTGAAACCTCGCTAACCCGGTAAGTAGAAACGATGTGATCGAATCCAGATATCCAGTCTTCTGTTATCCTTCACAAAATCCTACAAGGGCTCTGTCATACGAGTTGGGCTTGGGGAACACTCGTTGCCTTTCGACCGATCAACGAAAAAGAAGAACATGCCATGTGAATAAGACAACGAGGTAGATTCGGGTAAACTATGTACGCAATGACGTCATTTGCGATCTCAGCGGTAAAGAAGCACTCCGTCTGTATGTAAAAAGTATCGACAGACAACAAGAAGTATCTTCGGATGACAAAACCTTGTTGACCAGTCCAGCAGCATTTTTCGAAATACTTGGAGCCCGAATTGATATGTATTAGGACTCAAACTGTTGATGGATAACGCAATGAAGAAAAGAAACCAATAAATTAGGCACAGGAACAGGATATATGTAAGAAGGGAAAAGGATCTTAACAGATTTCTAGCAAGTACCATTATCACTAAACCGGAGTTTATGAGCATGTATGTCGTGAGGATTGATGATTGACCAAAGTTTGAAGTTTACCGTGTGATTGATAGTAAAGTTGAAGTTTAAAAATTTGAAAATGAATCTGATAAGTGAAGTATTTTGAAGTTCTTCACATATTATTTTCCGCGGTCATAGTCCCAGTGGGTATCCAATCTGAACATCATTTGTTTTTAGTTTTGATTATCGAGTGTTTCTCCTGACCAGTGACCAATGAGCCTGTTTATGAAGTCCTGCTTGTTTATGAACTTGATTAACACCTTATCAATTTGATTTGATTTCATTAATCATCTTTCATCATCATCATCTCAAAAAAATGTTCAAAAATACTCAATCAACTTCAACTTCGACAATTTACAATTCTTATCATCCAAGTTCATTGAGTCCTTTCATTAGAAAACGTTTGATTCCATTCACTTTAGCATCCATCCTGTCACTTTACATTCTTTATCGAATCTCAACCAATTCCTCATCTCAACCGATCAAAGACCATGAAGAATCTGATCAAAACATCGTATCTTCAAATGATCAATCCATCCCAACCTCTTCTCACAAATGGTCTTCCATATGGCCAATTCCTTCTGCTTCACTTTGGTTATCTAACTTTGCTCATCATAAGAATGAACTAACAGGTGCATTAGATGGTGCAAGTCGTGGTGAATGGCAATCTCCAACAGCTCCTTTACCGATTAATGCTTCACTCAAACAACGTTTAAGAGCTTGGCGTATGGCTCCTTTACCTGAACCTGCTGTTTGGGTTCAATTCAACTTACAAACTTGTTCGGATCATCGGATTGGTAAAAATGCAAATGTCGATCTTCTAAAGGTCTGTTTACCTATCCTTCTAAAAGTCGTTTCTTCCTCTTCGTGTTTCTTTTTTCGATCGAGGTATATCCACACCTCTCCGCATACATCATCGTCTGTCATTTCACACACAGAAACTTTACTTCGTTTTATATCTTTCTAGCCGATCACGACCGCTTTGAAATCTTGAGCTAACCGTGTGGTTTACCTTTCCGTTCCAGCGCGCTCATCTCATGTGGGCCACGATGAATCGGACTCATTACCGTGACAAGCGAGAAGAATTGATCACTCATCTCGAGACAGCTTCTAGCAAAGGCTACTTAGACCCTAAAAACCATGGTACTGGTCGCGGTATTGTCTTTACAGCTGGTAATGCGGTAAGTAACTGATTTCTAATATCACAATCCTATCATTTCACCAATGATTTCACCTTTACTGAATAACGGTTTTTTCGACCATCATAGGATACATTTGTTAGAGTGCTTTTAGGTGTAAGAATGTTAAGAGAAAATTTAAAATGTGAATTACCCATTGAAATCTTTAGTTTTCCAGGTGAAAGACCCACCAATGAGATCCGTGAATCATTAAGAAGATATAATGTTTCATTTAAGATTGTTGAATGGGCTAAGAAGGATTCACATCGAGCTAAAAACTTTGTAAAGTCATCTTTCTTTTGGGATCAAAACCCTTTTTTCAATGTCTCGATCGTTTTACTCATTGGAAGAATCAATTTTTCCTCTTGATTTTAGCATATCAAAGCTTCTGCTTTAGTCATGTGTTCGTTTCGTGAACCGCTATATCTCGACAGGTATGCCCGTCTACCGTGTTTTTGGTCATCGCGTGTCGATTTGCAGGTGCTGACTTGCTGCAATGCTGGTTCTTCAAAACCACGATCATATACACAGTGATAACCTTCCGGCACTGTTAAAACCAGGTCAACTAGAAAATCTGTGGGAATCCAAAGCATATAAAAAACTCGGAGCACTTTTTTGGCCCGGTCAGTCCCTATGATTAGCCAGAAAAACACGCCAAAAACAGATTCACTTACGCATTTGTTTGATTTTGGGTTGGAATGGACTGGCGACGAAGATTATTGGAAGACGCATGCAGATGTTCCTATCTGGCTCTTGATTGGCACTCAATGCCGGTACGTGCTAATTACCCATACATATCCCTATCCCTAAAAAAATCTACTATGGACGTCTTGGAAATAGTTTCACTTATTGATTCTTCTCATCAGTGACGAATGGGAACAAGAAGCCGGACAGATCCTGATCGATAAATCCCGACACCTGGATGTCTTGTTGCTTTCAGAACATATGCTTCAACACTGGCAATATTGGTTTCAAATATCAGACGGTGATAAAGATGTCTTTAGATATGCTATGTTGGCATTAAGAAAACGTTGGGCACTTCCTGGAAGATATCTGGGTGCTGCTGGTTTGTCTTGGAATACTCAATCTGGATATTGCGGTCATACCATGTTACAACATGATATCGAGGGACGACGTTAGTGTTCTTTTATTGTTTATGATTTTTGTTCATCATTCTCAAACGGTCTGATTTAAATATCGGGTTCAATAGCGTTGTTTGTTCATATGAACTTACTGAAACAAATTCCTAGTGGAATCAGTCGCGGGACAACGTGAGTAATAGGTTTGATTGTATTTCAATTTTTCCAATTTCTTAACAAAACTCGTTTGACAGATTCAAGCGAACTCGTGATACGCAAATTCCTCTCTTAGCAAATGAGACATTGGGAGATTGGGGAGTGGAAGCAGATATGTTGGCAAATGCTGATGTGAATGGAAAAGCGATTATGGATGCACCTGCACCCGTGAGAAGAAGAGCGGCTCTTGAACGTGGCTTAGTACCTTTTCTTCATGTAAGTATCTTCTTTGTGAATTCTCATTGATGTCTTTGATTAACAAAGAAAGCTGGACCAAAACATTCTTGTAGGGCGGGTCTGTGTCAGCCGTTTGTGTAGATGTGAGATGGTCAGACCCACGTACAGAGTTGGAAAAGGATTTACAGGAAGGAGATGGGATTGAATGGAAGAATCCATTGGAGATAGCTCAATGGAATGCTGATGATCGATTGGCTGGATTTGAAGATAAATTCTTTGGTATGTTTTTGATTTTCTTTTTGGGTTTACAAAACATATGAAGGATCATGTTGATGTTTCTTTTGGATTTTTTGTAATGATTTTTTTAGATATGGGAGGAAGAACCAATCAAGCGGCTGGGTTCTGATATTGTACTGGGTGATCTTGTTCAGACTCATGAAGTTACAAACCGATATTGGTTTCTTTCAAGGATTTGTTTGGTATGAGGAAGAGAATTGAGTGGAAAGAAACTTGTTGGATTTGATATAGACTTTATTTTTTTTGATCTGTGATCTGTGATCTTTTTTCATTGGTTTGTTTTAGTTTTTGGAGTTTAAGTTTGAGTTTGTAGAACTTTTTGCAATTGGACTGTTTTTATTTAAGAACAGGAGTGATTAGAAAGATGAAAGGTTGGAAAAAAACATTATGGACAAGAGAAGATTGAAGACATAAACCCACCTAGGATCAACTGCCTCTTGAGAGGGTGATAAAAGTTTCAATGTAGCCTGAATGACACTGTCAGCCCCTGCTGTGTTAATCCACAATTTCATTGTTATACATTTTTTTGCATTCCTTTAAGTGTTTATTGAGCTGCTAAGCTATCACACTATGTGATATGTCCAGCACTGGTAACATCCTGCTGGCTGTGTCAGGTAAAAGGCTTGCTGTGGGCTGTTTCATCCAGATTATGTGTTGACTTTTTATACGAAATAGAAAGGCAGGAAGTAAGGGGGTGGGAATTGATATCATTCCTGAGGCTGAGGTCTTTTCAAGGGATGGGGTTCATTTGTGGCCCTAGCCCAAGTGCAATGGTTTTCAAATCTCCATGTGGAGTTTCAAAAAGTAGCAATAAGTTTGAACCTTTTGAGGTCTGAGAGGATTGGTTTGTTCATTTTGGCAACGGTGTGGCCTTGAAAATTATGTTCAAGCTTGTTTTGATGGTTTATGTGTCTGACAGATCAATAAAGAATTTAACTGTTTCTATTCCATGTTGGAATTCACAGACTGGATCAATCATGAGCTGTTTGAATCTATTGAGGTAGGTGTTGAGTGGTACATGACTTGATTGAATTTGTAGTTGTGTGATGGTGGTTACTTTGTGTTTGAGGAGTCATGATAGAGCATTGAGGTGTTGCTTTGGCTGGGGATTGTGAGCCATGACTTGATTCTGTTGATTTCTTTGTTGGTAAAGGCTTTGGTTTGTGGCAACTTACATTAATCAATGGCAGAGATGAAGGTTGTAGAGTCAAGTGTAGTTGCGTCAGCCCTGGGTACATATACATGTACCCAAAACTAACTTATAATATATAATTTTCACTTATAAATCTAATTACATGTACATGCAACTTATAAAACACATGTAACATATAATAAAACATATAAAAACATCAATTACATATACATACACATTTAACAACATATGTAATATGTAATAAAACACCAATTACACCTCATAACTCAGTGTCAAGAGTTAAAATGCTTATACTACATAATTTACATAACACATATATGTAATTAGGTAATATTAATAATAACAATAACTAATAATTATCATTAAACCCTAAACCACAGCAGTGATACAAACAAATATCACTACAGTTAGGTTTGGAGAGGAGAGTATATAAACTCCTCTTCTCTCAGCCTCCAGAGATTTTCCTTCAAGCATTTTTATTACCCACATCTTTTAAAGAACCCTTTAAAGTTCTATTGAAGTACATAATCAAAAGTCTTATAACAATAAGACTAGTGATTCACTTCAACTTTTTAAAGCAGATTACTGCCTAAAAGATAAAGTAATTCTTTTCTTCATCCCTTGGATCCTCTACTTTCCCCAAGTAGAACTCTTCAGGTTAGTGAACTCCCAAAGAACTCCAGGTTAGTCACCTTTTGAACAACTGCAGGTTAGTAACCTTCATCAACTCACAGGTTAGTGACCTGTTGAACAACTGCAGGTTAGTGACCTACATCAACTCACAGGTTAGTGACCTTCTGAATAACTACCAGTTGGTGACTATAAACAACCAGGCTAGTGAGCTACACCTCACTCTTTAATCTATTACCTTAAAGATTAAAGGAGGGCTTTGGATCCCGCCTTCTCATATTGTATTTCAAACCTCCTTTTAAGGAGTCATTTAACTGTAGTCTGTCTGGATTTGCCAAACAGACCAGTTCCCTTCTTCCTCATCCTTTCTTTTCTTTATAATTTTATTGTAATTACATTATATTTGAAATACAACCTTAATTATATGAAATTACAAACTTACCTTGCCATCTTTAGTGAGCCTTGAGTACTCTTTTGAATACCCAACCCTCACAGGTTGTGAATGTGCCGGGTAGATCACCTTTTGCAAGTGTGTTTGCAAGCTTGTCGGCGACCTTGTTTTCTGGGATGCTTTGTGGACTGGGCACCATTGTATGGTGACTTTCATTGATGGAAAGCTCTGGTGGATACATTTGAGTATCTTGAAGGTTTGTTGCCAGTTACCTAGTGAGGAGACAGAAGATGAGTTAGCTTTTAAATCTTTCACCACTTTCTCGGACAATAGATGCATGGTGTGTGGCTGGTGTAGCCATTTCTAGCACCATCTTTAGCCCTAGTTAGTGTTATAACTGGTACTTACGTGACAGTTCAAAGATCACATTTCACACATTAGAACACCACTTTAGATAGCACGCACAGTTGTACTTTGATTCCTCATCTGACAATCTGAATACCAACTCACAGATTGCTCACCCTCATCCTCCGTGCCAAGAGCCCGTGCCAAGATCATAACATATTGTCAGATCTTCAATCCGACGGATGACGAGGTAGCTAGAACTGATCCAAACCAAAAACCGATAACCCCAAATTTCTAGATCTGATACCATTACCAACAAGTTGGTAGATCGATTACATCCTGAACCTTAATTATAACTTTATTTTAAGACACAAGATCATACTGAAACCAAACTCTGAACATTATTTGAGAAGACTTTGAACCTCATAAGAAGATCTAGACTGAAACTTAGATTGAATCAAAAGATCAACATCACTGCACCCTGCATAGACGCCACCACGTCTCCCACATTTAGCACCCCGCATTTAGAAGACAAAGAATCAGACAATTCTGGTTTTTTCACACCAACTCAACTCACCGCGTCATCATTGAGCCCAATGGATGTCACCACCACCCAGATGGAAAGCTTCCAACGGCAATTGAATGAACTTGCCGGCGCTCTTGCCGAAGAAAAAAAGCTGCGTGCACAAGCTGAAGCCAAACTTGCCGAAGTGAGGAATGCTCAGCCTCAAACACATCAGCAGACTGCTGCCGCACGGGTCAACCTCCTGCACCACAACCTGAGCCCGCCAGTATACCTAAGGGCCCCAAGGTTTTGACACCAGACAAATTTGCTGGTGCACAAGGTAATCTGGCTGAGGTCTTTGCCAGCCAAGTGCAACTTTATATGATGGCACATCCTTATGTAATATCCGGATGATCATAGTAAAGTTGTATTTGCTCTTTCTTACCTCACGGGCACAGCAAGTAGTTGGGCTCAACCGTTAGCCAAAGAACTGTTCCACCCTGCGACTTGTCATCTCGTCACCTTTGATAGATTTGTTCAAAACTTTGAAGCTATGTATTTTGATACAGAGAAAAAAGCTAAGGCTGAGAAGGCGATTCGGAGCTTGACGCAGAAAGGAACAGTGGCGGAATATACTCATGAATTTAATATGCATGCGGCAAACACTGGATGGGAAATACCAACCCTCATTAGCCAATTAGAACAAGGTCTCAAGAGGGACATCCGTGTCGCCATGGTCTTAGTTCAAGAGGCTTTTGAGTCAGTCGAGCAAATTGCCAACCTCGCGATCAAACTTGACAACAAGCTTCATGAAGTCCCCAACACTTCAATCGCATCTTACTCACCTGCAGCGGATCCCAACGCTATGGAGATATCTGCATCTTTCACCAGATTGACCAACAAAGAACATAATGATCATCTTAGGACAGCCTCATGCTTTAAATGTGGTGTTCAAGGCCACAGATCAAATGTATGCCCTGAAAAGTTTAAAGATCAACATGATAGAGGTAATAAGGGGAAAGGCAGTTATCAAAGACATATTGCAGAGCTGGAGGTTAAATTAGCAGCTATGAGCAGCAGAAATGACGGCGGACATGATCAGATGGAAGGTATTAGTCGAGCAGACCTCTCAAAAAATGGAGGCGCTCAGGAGTGACCTTTGGGCCTACCCTGAGCAAAAGGGATCTAAGGAGTGTTGTAAATCTGGGGGCTAGTGAAGTTATTGCATGCAATGAACTTGATCCATGGTTATTCATTCGCACTCCCCAAATCCCGTGCCACAACAATTGAGACCCCCAATCCCCTATTCCTCATCAACTCTGGGGCAACCCACGATGTCTTAGGAGAATCCTTTGCAAACCAACAAGGCCTCCTACACCACACAATCGAAAGCACCCGCAGTGTCACTGGATTTGATGGCTCCATGAGCCAGTCATCTCATGAAATTGACCTCTACCTCGGACACAACAAAATCCCAACTTCATTTATCATCACTCGCATCAAGGATACATATGATGGTATACTAGGTATACCGTGGATCCACCGACACAGCCATCTCATTGACTGGAACAATGGCGTAGTCAACCTCAGGAAAGCCATCATTGCGACCACAGATGTGGTCTCGCCAAAGCCCAATATTCTACAAAATGAAGACGCGACCAACCACACAGACGACTTTGAAACACCTGGGACTGATGCGTCAGTCTTGCCCAATCCACACCATACCCCAGAAGATCCCGTAGTGGAGCCCAATGGGCACGTTAGGAAATGTGGCGAGGAGGCTTGTGTTAACAATGACACTTTACAGCCCCCGCAATGTGAGTTTGTCAATGTACCCTCTCTACACCCGTCAAGAACAGCTGGCAAGCTTTGTTCCTTCCTAGAACCTGAACGCACAGATTCACAAAACCCACCTACCGGACCCCACCAATCACCGTCTAAAGTGACAGAAACCAAATTGGGTCAAACACGAATTGCGACTGGTCCTTCAGTCTTGTCATACCCAAAAACACCTTCATTGGATCCCGGAATGGAACTTTTGGAGGAAGCTAGGCAATTTGACGAGGGGGTTAGTGTGTTGTATGATGCACCACGACCCCCGCAATGTGAGTTTGCTGCTGCATCATGTTCCCTTGTGACCAAATATGCTGGCCAGCGTGATTCTCCTCAAAATTTTCCATTAGTTCTGGCGGACGCAGCACAAGCTTCCTGGTCGACGTCGGCGAGGTTGGCGGCCAAGGGCAAGAAGAATACACCAGCTAAGCCGATTGAGGAACTTGTCCCATTGGTGTATCACCGCCACCTGCACTTATTCAGGAAGTCGAACTCACAATGTTTAACACCAAGACGGCGCTACAATGTCAAAATTGATCTAGTACCCGGCGCCCAGCCTCAGGCCAGTCGTATGATACCATTATCGCCGGCGGAGAAGGAAGCATTAGATGAGATGATTAACACCGGTCTAGCAAACAGCACTATACGCAGGACGACCTCGCCTTGGGCCGCCCCGGTCCTGTTCACTGGAAAGAAAGATGGCAACTTAAGACCATGCTTTGATTATCAAAAGCTCAACTCACTCACCGTGAAGAACAAATATCCACTGCCCTTGACAATGGACCTAGTGGATAGCCTACTTGACGCCGACGAATTCACAAAACTCAACCTCCGCAACGCTTATGGAAACCTGCGTGTTGCAGAGGAAGACGAGGACAAACTAGTGTTCATATGCCATGCAGGCCAGTTCGCACCTCTCACCATGCCTTTTGGACCCACAGGAGCCCCCGGTTTCTTTCAATACTTTATGCAAGACATATTTGTTGGGCGGAATGGTAAAGATACGGCGGCATACCTGGTAGACACCATGATCTACACAAAGAAGGGTCAGAAGCACGAACCGGCAGTTGATAGTATACTGGAGACATTAGGTAAACATCAACTTTGGCTGAAGCCCGAAAAGTGCAAATTTTCAAAGTCAGAAGTGGAATACTTGGGTCTATTAATATCTCACAACAGAATCCGGATGGATCCCGCTAAAGTCAAGGCAGTGTCCAATTGGCCAGCACCAAGATCTGTCAATGAACTTCAACGATTCATTAGGGGGTTTCAAGTTGGCCAAAAAGTGCCTAAAAATGTGTGTACTTTTGCCTCCCAACCCTTGAATTTTCATTCATTTTTGTAGAATAAAGACTAGAATGTGCTTCTTGGGAAAGGCGTTTTAGAAGTTTTTTAAAAATTTGAAAATTATAAGCTATGTTTTTATGTAGGGACATTTGAACTTTAGGCATTTTTTTTAACTTGAAACCCCCTATTGGCTTCTCCAACTTCTACCAACAATTTATAGACCACTTCTCTAAGACCACACGGCCCCTCCATAACTTGACAAAGAATGATGTTAAGTCTATTTGGGACGAGAAATGTGAAAACGCCTTCAACACGCTCAAGACTGCTTTCACCACAGCACCAATCCTGAAGATTGCGGATCCGTACAAACCATTCATATTAGAATGTGACTGTTTGGATTTTGCATTGGGCACGGTATTATCCCAGCATTGCTCAAAGGACAATGAAGAAATTTCCAAACACAACTTCAAGATACAGGAGAAGACGGAGAAAGAAGTGAAAGGGCAAGGTTTTTCCCACAGGGTTTTTTTAACGCTGCCCGTGGGAAGAATGCAGAGCTTGCAAGAGGAAGCTTGGGCATTAAATGGGGGATGATGTTATAACTGGTACTTACATGACAGTTCAAAGATCACATGGCACACATTAGAACACCACTTTAGATAGCACGCACAGTTGTACTTTGATTCCTCATCTGACAATCTGAATACCAACTCACAGATTGCTCACCCTCATCCTCCGTCCCAAGACCCCGTGCCAAGATCATAACAGTTAGACAACCTGGTACTCTGTCTGATAGGGCCCCTGAAAGTTTGCTGGTCCTAAGTGAACTGCCTTCAAGATAATGGTATTTGCACACCACATCAATTGCTGCTGCGGTTTTGGTTGGGGTGAAGCCTTCTGTGAATATGAGTATGTGATGGCCAGTGGGTTTGAGCTTGAGTGTGCCAGAAATGGCTATGTCCTTGTCTTCCTGGGAAACTGTTGAGGAGTTGGGTGGGTGTCACATCCCTGAGCTACTGGTCATTGGCAGGCACTTCAACAGGATTTTAGAATGATTTCAACATAGTATCACTTTGGTGGTCATTTGCCCAGAATACCATCATCATTCTAATGTCATCATATGTCATCACAAACCTGTACACACCTTCTCCTTAAAGATCTGTCCATTTCCTGGTAGTATGTTATGAGTCACGTGCTTCAAGTAGATCTCCTTAATCTGTGTGTTTAGGACAAGCTACCTAGTATACTTGTTTACAGCTCTTTCAGCACCATCAACATATTTACCTCGGATTTTGTAATCCGAGGTATCCTCGGATGCAAAACCTCGGACAGAAGCTTCCCGAGGTTTTGATCCGAGGTAATTCTCAGGGCAAAAAAATACCTCGGGCAAACAAGGTTTGTCCGAGGATTTGCCTCCGATGATGCCTTGGATTTCTCAACCCGAGGCATCTATGTTGGCAGTGCAGGCTGCCCTACCTAAGCACATAGGATACTATTCCCTACTAGAGAGCGCAGCCGCCTACATGTTTATGGTTTGGGGGTGGTCCCAAGGGTAAGGGAATGTAGGGGAGCCGGCTCCCGCCAACCCCCTTTCTTTACCCCTAGGACAAGAGCAGTGTCTGAGAAGAGAAGACTTCTCAACCCAGATGGTGGGTGTGTTTTCAAAGCTTGAGTTTTAATTTCAATGATGATTTTTTTTACAAAAACAAATCAAAAAGTTTTTTCCAAACCAAATTGTTAATATTATTCCAACTTCAATTAATTTTGGTTTTGGTTTTGGTTTTGGTTTTGATTTTGATTTATCAAAAAAAATGAAAAATGAAAAATCCACAAAAAAAATGATTTATTTATTATAAAGAAATCCGAAAAATTATTATTATTATTTGAAAAAAGAAAATATTTGATCAAGTTTTACAAGAAAAGTCAAAAAAAAAAGGATGAGAAAAAAAAAGACTCAACCCATATATTATTCAACCAAGCCACATTATTCAAGTATCAAAAAAACCAAAAAAAAGAAAAAGAAAAGAAAAGTCTATCAAACCAATTCAAAATCAGACCAAAAAAACAAAAACAAAACCCCAAAAAATCCTTTTGAAGGACAAAATCATCCCCAACCCATTTTCATAACCAAGCAAAAAAACCCAAGCCAAAACCCAAAAACCCATTCATTCGTCCATTGATTAATTAACGATTCTCAATCCTGAAAACTTTCCCAAACCTTCATTAAATCCATCAAGATCATCCCATTCATCTCCACATCAATGCGTTTTCCATTCCGATTCCAATCAGCTTCTCTTGATTCACAAAGACAGAAAGCTAATGATCTAGTGATCGGTAATGGAATCGAATTTCCAATTTGTTTATATAAACCTTTAACTCCTTCTGATTTATTTGATAATACAAACCAATCTGGAAATCCCTAATTCGAAAAACCGAAACCAAAAACCAAGAAAAAAATAATCAAACTTTTTTGATATACTTGTTTGATGGTTAGTAGGGCTTTTGACACTCACCTGTGCTCTTTGGGCTTCTAAAACTGTTAATACACGATGTTGAGAAGGATGTAAAACTTGTCCAGTTCTTCCTTGGTTCCTAGGATCCATCGTAGTAATCACAGTTCTAAACAAAAGATGAGGACTTAATCTACCAAAGTTTCCTTCATAATCTCTTGAATAATCTTTTGTTTGAGATTTTTTTGGTTCCTATTCAGACCCACCCAAAAAAACCAAACCAAATCAAAAATTAAATCAAATCAAAAATTAAATCAAATCAAAAATTAAATCAAATCAAACTGTGATCAGAGTTAAGAAATGGGTTTACAGCTTCTTTGTATTTCAACTCTTCAGGTAAATCTAAACAAAAAAAAAACGGAATCAATTAAACCAATCAAACCATTTACCAAACCAAAAAAAAGTTGGATTTTTTCCTTCACTTACCTTTATAATCAGCTCCTTCCCTAATAGGTATATGCCAAATCTGTTCAACAGTCTTCTCAGAAAACCTACCCGTAACATGCCAATTAATCGGCTCTTCTTCTTCATCACCATCATTTTGTAAAACTAAATCATCATCTTCTTTTCTTTGAGTTCTAAGATAAATTTGAAAATTATTTTGAGGATTGATTCGATACTTAAACTTTTGAAACCCAACCCAATCTGTTTTTTCAAGACGCCCAAACCTATGATCTCCATTCACCAAAACACATTCTTTTGATCTTTTTTTAAATTTCTTTCGAGTCGGTTTATTAAAATCTCCCATGATCTTCATCGGATTTCGATACTCAAAACAAGGTAAATCGGATATCGTATCTCCAATCGTGATCGGATCTAATGTACCTCTTGAGTATCGAGTTCTGAAATCCATGAAGATCTTGTTTTGATCTGGTAATTTGATTTGTAAATTTCCGTCTGGATAAAAATGAGTCGGGTCTGGTAAGTTGGGTAAGGTGTAACCTCGCTTCACAGCTGTAAGGATAAATCTTCTTCTTTCTTGTGGTGTACCATATTGTGCTGCTTGAAGTACACCAAATCGAAGTTGATAACTAGTTTTAAAAAGAAAAATGAATGAGGATTTCATATCTTTTAAGAATCAGAAAAAAAACGGAAAAACACAAAACATTACTCAACTCTAGGGTGATCATCGTACCACACATTAACCTAAGAAAAGCATGAGTTAAGATTTCTTGAGTTTCACGATCTACCAATTGAGTCTTTAAAAGACCTCTAACCTAAATGATCACCATAATGAAAAAAATCGTCAACTTTAATGCCGAAATAAAAATGATTCATGTAATTTGAAATCTCAAAAACTTTACATTTTCAAAATAAACATAAGTTGGTTTAAGAAATTCAATAAATGAAAGAGCAGTACCACACAAAGCGTTCTTAGAATCTTCACCTTTTCTCAAAACGTTTAAAGTAGAATGACTACCACTATTTTCCCCCCACCAAACAAAAAATCAAAAAAAAACATCAATTTCTACCACTCGAAATTCAAGAGAGCAAAAAACAAAACCATACCAAGGAAACCCAGCAGTAATGATATCAAAATCACCAGGTTTAGGTAATTGATCAGGAAAGATTTGTAGACCAGTTCTTAAATCCCTTACACTTGATTTCCCTTGCCTTGTTTTACCTGTGATCATCAAACAAAGAATCTCATTTACATCAGCACAAAAGATTGTCGATTTTGGAAAATTGATTCTACAAAAAAGAAAGAGGAAAAGGAAAAGGAAAAGGGAAAAGGGAAAAAAGAAATCCATAGTTTGACAACAGATCAATTAGTATTTATTTATTGAAAAGAAGAATAGGAAAGGATAAGAACACTTACGAAGCAGTTTCACAAGCCGGAACAGACCAATCAATAAAAACCGTTCTTTTCTGATCAGTAAGACCATGTTCCGAAAACCCAAGTGAAAAGCTTCCGATCCCACCAAACAATTCCAAATGACTCAATTTCATCTGATCATATTCTTTTACCAATTCTTTCAATACGATCTTCTCATCCTCCACTTCTTGCAACTCCAAAAGATTTGATGATCGAAACGAAAGAAACGGTAATAAATTAGGAACAAGCTCAGGTACAGAACATCTTAACTCTTGTTGAGCTTGAGTAGGTAAAACACTATAAAACTTGTGTAAAGAACTACGAATCTCTTGGATTTGGTCCACTAATGATTTCCAAGCTTTTTGTGGGTTTATGTTGATAAAACTTTGATCAGATTCAATGAAATGTTCGATTTCACATTTGCCTATTAATCCATTTAGTCCATCTACGATTTCTTCATGTGAAGAATACCAAAGCCTACGATCATCTAAATAATCCATCACTTGAGCATCGTCGTTATAGTGGTGGGGATTGGATCGGGTTCCTGTCCAAGCTTTTCGTTCGTAAACTCTTACAAGCAATTTGATTTGTTTCTTTCTTAGATTGGTTTCTAATTCAGTATATTTAGAAGAAGACACTTTGAATGGTTCATCAGTTAAATCAATCGAAGCATTCAAGTTCGATCGAAAGCCCGAGATCTCAATGATTTGTCCAATCTCTTCTTTACTTGAATCATTTGAGTTTGGATTTCTAATAAACCTAACATGATCCCATAGTTTGTATGTTTCGGTTCCATTGATGATAAAACCTAGTGAAAGATGTCGATCGTCGGGGCCTAAGAGAATTTGATTGGTTGAAGGATCTCGGATCCAATCTACCTCTTTAGGTATCGTACTACACCTTCTACACACTTCGCTGGGGGAATGAGGGATTTGAAGTGGATTAGTGGTAAGATGAAGTAGAGGTGATGATGGACGTTCGAGTTGAATAAAAGCTCCATTCATAGGTAACCAACGGTATCTCATCCAAAAATAAACCGAATCCGAACCCAAAATCTTAGTTAATGTGAAAAAAAAACCATACAAAATGAAATCACCTACCGACAATAGTATTCTTGGGAAGGCAGGGGATTCGTGAAAGATTGGTCCGAAAACATGAAGTGGACGTTTAAAACTTTATGAGCGGGTGATAATTCGAATTCGAAACATTGATCGATCAAGACTAATTCGAAGTCATCAGCAGCTTGACCAACGAATGTATCTCTAGCCTATACCACACACCACACCATAAAAATATTATTGTATTAGTTAGAATCATAAGAAACAAAATAACAAGAAGTTTGATTAAAGATGAGTGAACTTACTTTTTGAAGACGAATCCCATGACAGTACTTCTTCTGATCTTTTTCAAAAAGAGATTCTATCCAAAAGAAATGATCTTCCGAAGCAGCTTCTTCCTGATCGACTTCTAACGAATAAGAATCCAAACCCGAAACCTTAAATTGATGTAAGTTGATAGAATGATGATCGACTTGAATGACTTGTGATAAACTTAAAACTGTTTGATGATCGAATCGAATTGATGTGTAAAACTCTTCACCTCTGTCTGAGGTTTTTATCGGTCTTTCTTCAGTCCAACTTAACTGATTGGAGGAGGATTGGGTTTCATCGTTGAGTAGGTTTAGGGGTTCTTCATGGGTTGGATTCGGATTGGGTTGTGGAGTAGGTTCGGGTATGGGATTTTCGACTATGGGTTCGTTTGGAGAGTGGGTTGAGTCGTCTTGAATGATAAGTCGGTCTAGGAGGTGTTCAACGGTAGTTTCATTTATTTGATGATTTGAATGGTCTTGAGCTACAGCTTGAATTTTGAGGTTGCCATTAATTTCTTCATTCGTTTGACGAGTTTCATCTTCAATCACATTATCTTTCTCACTAAAAGATGAATCATTGGTAGGTTCTTCAGCCAATCTCAATCGTTGAAAATATTTTGTAAATCTCTGGAATGTAATTGAACACATCACAGCATAAGGTTGTTTCGTATTGGGTTCTTGATCATCGACTGGGTGTTCATGATCATCAGATGATGGTAAGAAATCATCCGGATTGAAATCTGAATCGTATCCTGTTCCAGTTCTTGTTCCTGTGATAGGTGATTGAGGTCTAGATAAAGAGACTGTCGTTTGACGGGTTGGAGGAGTCGATCTGCTTTCGAATGGTGTCAATCCTTCTTCTTCTTCTTCTGAATCGTAAGTCGAACTGGATTGTTTGTGTTGAGATAAAGGTTTTGATGTTTCTGATTGATTTGATGTTTCTGATTGATTTGATGAATGAGTATGATTGTAATAAGGAATAAGAACCGTTACTTTAGCTCGTTTGATTGAATGAGATGATGATGATGAATGTTTTCGTTTGGATGATGGTTGAGTTGATAGTTCTGATGGGATTAGAACTGAGATGAATTTGGATTTCATTTCGATTTGGTGACTGGCCAATGGTTGGTGAAGGTAATGGTAAACTTGAAGTTGGTTGAGGTGCTGAGATGAATGATGATGAGATATTGAATCGAATTCTAGGATGTTCTAATCAACAATCTACCTACCTACCTACCTACTTCATCAGCATCCTCTCTATCCTCTCTTCGAGAGTATTGTTGAAGAAAGGTTTGGTTTGATTTCCTTTGATTAGCTCATCATGAAATCAAACTCTTCATTCTCAATTGGCAAACTGGTTGCTTTGTAGCTCACTTGAGTCTGACCGAAACCTCCTTGGATCACTCAAACCACTTCTCGCTCTCAATCTCTCTCTTATCAATATCATTGGGATCCCTCTTCTCCTTCGCCACGTACGCCAGATCGTTCGACAAACTGAGCAGTTGTGCGTCTCCGATACGACGAGCTACTCTTCCAATACTCGATACAAGCTCCAGAGCACTGAGATAGATAGTCGAATCATGGATAGAGTCATTTAGGTGTAAACCCATTTCGATCAAAACCTTCACAGTCAATATAACAAACTGAGGAAGAGTTTGACTGACCATCCATATCATTAACGGATTAACGGTGGGTTCTGGGTCACATGTGATCTCAATGGGAAAATGGAGTTAAGCAAAAGCGGATCTCATTAAATTCAAAGGCAAGAGTTAAAGAGCTCAACGTACAACTTCACCGCCCCATTTCCCAGACCCAATCCAGCTAACCAAATTGAAAGTTTTATCGTTTTTAAACTTTTAAGCCTTCATGACTGACTCTTGGAAAGTCTGAGCTTTCTTGGCTTCATAGCAATAATTCATCATAGGTCACCAAACAAATTCTTTCATGAATTCTTTTTGATTGCATGAAACTTGAAGAGGAACTTTAACGCTTGAAGAATGATGATCACTTCCACGCTCAAGCCCACTGGTATTATGTAGCAGTACGATAATTCCGTCCAGCTTCATTCATCGTCAGAGTTTCCGATATAGTTGGACGTTGCCTATGTGTGATAAAGATCTCTTTTTCCGAGTCTGAATCTATTTAACTCAAGAGCCTTTACCCTTTTCTTCCATTCTCAATCGTACTTTTCAATACTTTTCATCGTCAATTTCAATCCATACCAATCCTTATTTTATAGAATAATATAACCACACAAGATGAGAACGAATTCATTTAATAGTCTTTCGCTTAATATTACTATCATTCTATCTCTTCTGATTTACATTCAATCTCAATCAAATTCCATCACAGATGCCAAAAAACACAAGCCAAAGAAATCATGTCAGTCTCGTCCAGCCAAAGAAAACACTTGGAATCTAAAGTCTCATTCGAGTGGGAATAATCTTATTAACTTCTTTAAGTAAGTCTTGATCGATTGAGTGATGATTGGGTTTCGCGGATTGATGGTTTCCTTGTTTTGTTGATGTACGTTAGTTTTGAGACTGCTAATGACGGAAGTCAAGGAGGTATAGCCAAATATGTTGATCTTGAAGAAGGATACGATTCTTCAATGATCGGATCAAACAATGGAGCTCTATATTGTACGCTATTCTTTTATAATCCAAGCCCGGAAGATTTCTTCACATCAGATTGATTTCTTCGTGAAACTTTGACTCTTTTGTTGATTTGCCGTTTTTTTTTGTATGGGCATACATAGTTGGAGTGGATACTACTCCGTATAGTGAAAATCGAAAATCATTTCGTCTTTCTTCCAAACAAACTTTTTCGGCTGGAACTTTAGTGGTTGTAGATGTATTACATATGCCTGCCACTTGTGGTTCATGGCCAGCATTATGGACAGTAGCTAAAGGTAACTGAATCCCCAAACTCCAAAAGTATATTATATGGATTTCTGAGTTTTTTTTGGTTGTTTTTTTTGGATTTGTTAGAAGCTGAATGGCCACAACAAGGAGAAATCGATATTATTGAGGGTGTTAATATGTTTACTCAAAATTCAATCTCGGTTCATACCAAACCTGGGTTTTGGATGAAATCTACTGGATTCCATTCTAAGTTCATGTTAGATGGTGATCAACAAACTAATTGTGATGTAGCAGCTACAGATGATCAAGGTAAGTGATCTCAAAGGCTTTCATCCTATAGAAGAAACATCAATTTGATTTGGTTTGGTGGATGATAGGTTGTGGTTTACGGGATACGAACCAGACTTCTTTTGGTGAACCGTTTAATGCCGCAGAAGGTGGTGTACATGTTTTAGAATGGACTACCGATTCCATCAGTATTTGTAAGTTCATTGTCGATCACTTCTCTAAAACCTCATGATTGGAATTGATGACTTTTCTTTTGCGGATGGATCTTTTAGACTTCTTTCCTCGTGGAAAGATTCCAGACGATATTTCATCTGGTTATCCATCTAGATCACCATCATGGGGTCAAGTAAGAGAAGATCTTTGACTTTTTTTTCTTCACGTGCAAAGTCTTGTTGGATGGTTTTGGTAAACTAATTGATTTGTTTTGGGTTAGCCTACTGCTAAATTTCAAGGAAGTGGTGGTCAATCAACTTCTGATTATTTTAAAGACCATGTTCTTGTGGTACGTAGAATTTGATACCTTTCGTTGATTAAAATGTGATTCAGAGGTTGATGACTTGAACATGAGTATAGGTCAATACCAACTTATGTGGAAAATGGCCAGAATCTATTTGGAACTCTGATGCATCTTATGCTGGTCAACCAAAGAGTTGTGCTGCTATAACTGGACATGATACTTGTCAAGAGTCAGTTGATCTTTTATCTTTCTTCATCCTTTCATGTTTGGATGTTTGCCTTGATTTTCTAATAAAATTTTTCATGAATGTTTGATAATTTTTGGTAAATTTAGTTTTATTACTAATGCAGGTGATAAGTTAGATGAGGCTTATTGGGCTATCAAGTCTGTGAAGGTTTATAACTAAGATTTGGTGATGGTTTTTGTGTAAGGCTTAGGACCTTGACCGTAGTTTTGGTTTCTTTATTCCAATTTCAATTTCTTTTTATGTTACACTTTATTAACCTTGAGTGAAGTATTCTGATTCAGACACAAACTTTGACACACATATGTATTTCTATAACCCATTTGTTTTGTCACAAGGATTTGTTTGTTGTCTCTTTAAATTGTTTTCTTACTCTGCTGATTGCATATTGCATAGTCATTTGTCGTTTCTCAGGGATTTACATGAGCTTTTTTGAAATATATCATTTCACGTGTTATGATAAAAAATTCCAAGATGAGTGACCCTATTACTTGAGGTATGCAAGTCTTTGTCTGATCAACATTGCCAAGGCAGCGTGGATCGGCAAAACCGTCCAATCACTGAGAAAACTAGGCATGCAGCTCAGCCATGTCCAGCTGAAACTTGAAGGCGAATTGAAATCCCTGTCTGATTGTCATATGTGAAGACGCAAATGAAGATATGATAAATAATCAGATGTTGTCATGTTGTTCTTGGTGTACAGAGCACCATTGGGGCTTGATGCCGGACTCGGTACAGATGAAGAACAACCGATCCGGGGTATAAGAAATCAATTCATCACTTCATCATTAAAAGATCTCCATAACAAAAAGTAAGGAAACGATATCCCAAAAGCGTTATCCAAAAGGAAATAGCAGATAATCGCACCCACACCCACGAACCCTTTCGAATTCGTGATTCAGCAATTTTGTCAATTTGAATCCGCTTCATTAGTTTACTTCCTCGGAATTTGTTTTATTTAATCTTTTTGATCAAAATTTTAACGTGAATGGGATCGCTTTGTATTCCACTTCCATCAAGATTTCTTACCTGAGCTCAAAATGACTTCAACTCGGAAGTTTCGATTCTGTAAGAGGCAAGAACATGACTAATGATTTTCATTAAAGATTGGTAAGCTCGGGTTTCCACAAGAAAGCTGATTCAAGCATACAACATATAATCAGAGGTGTAAGTCCTCTTCCCTTCTTTCTTCACCTCATCTCCTTTGTATACACGTGTGCCTTGTGTTACAATCCACCAATACAATATTTGTTTGATCAATCTCGTTACTGTTTTTTCAATTTTGATATGCAACTCACTGTAGCCATTGTCCTTGCCCTCGCCGCTGGTAAGCAAGTTTTCGTCTAGGATCAATCTGAAATGTTTGAATCTGATATCTTTCCCTTATGTTGAAGTAGCGGGAGCATTTCCTAAGTGGGTCATGTCATTCTTCATCATCCTCATGATTTTCTCAAACAAACTAAGCTAATGTTGCCGGATGGGTTTCATTTTGGTTATCACTTCAGTGGTTATGCTTCTTCTGATTATACGCCTTCTAGTTATATTGCTACATCTGACTATACTCCGGCTAGTCAATCTGGCTCACATGCTCAACCTGAGCACAAGGGATCTAAGCCTCATGAAGATTCATCTAAACCTGGTACGCTTCCTGGTATTTGTCTTTTTCTTTTTGCAACAATACTGAAATTTTCATTCCAGAGAGTTCTCCTGGATCACTTTTAGGTCTTGACCTTGACGTTGGAAATCTCGGCCTAGGATCCAAACCTGGTCCGTACCTATGCTCCACTTATTTGTTTGATTCATCTCTCGAATCCTACTAAATTCATTTCTACCTGCGTCCTTTATCATTGAGCAGTTTCTGATTCACACCCGGAATCCACCCTCCGAACGTCAGTGATTTCCTAAACTGACAAGTGAAAAAATTGGATTAGTTGACTTACCCCTTCCACACCTGGTTTTAGTCCTGGTCAATTGAAAGGTGGATCTCAACCTAGTAAGCGTGTCTCACCAGTGTGAGTGTCAAATGGCCGCTACAAGAACTGAAATACGCTCTCATAGCCATCGCTGTTGGAGAGCCCAACGGTTCCAAAGGCGGGATTCCTCACGCTGGTCAGTACTCACTCTCGAATTTCGGATATCTGAACGTATATGTGCGTGAGGTTTGATTAAACCTTGCTTACCTCTACGACGGCGAACATCTAACCAGGCTCTTCAGGTGGTTCAAAGTTTAACAATCCCACGGTCGAGCTCGGTACGTAGTGCGTCATTCTTATTCCATATTGAATACCTTTCTGACCAACGTATATCATACCAGAGGATGAAGGCGATATCCCTGACGACGTGCCTGCAACTAAGTCTACAGACGGTGCTACGAAACCTAGTAAGAAGTCATTATTTCCTCTGCTGTTTATCACCTTGACAAGCATCTGACAAGTATCCTCATGAATGTCGTAGCCGGTTCCATTGTCGACAGCACTTCGAAAGAGAATCCCGGAGCACAACTCGGCAATGGTGGATCCAAGCTCGGCGACGAAGTACCCAAGCCTGGTAAGTTTCCCCATGCCATAGACCTTATCAGAGAATATCTTGACAAATGGATATCATCTTAGTAGCTGTGGGTGGTAATCATCCAGTCGACGTAAGTGTACCAAAGTACACAAATGGTGCTGCTCAAACCAGTAAGTAGTCATAAAAATTCAAACATTTAACCCCTGTCGAAAAATCTAAATCTAGCGTCTTGAACTTCCCAGCCAACAGGATCGTCGACAGCACTTCGAAAGAAGACATTGGATCTCAGCCTGTCAATGGTGGATCTCATCCTGGCAGTGAAGCAACTAAGCCTGGTATGTAGCCCTCCGTCTTCAATCGATTTGAACTTTGTTCTGACAAGCGCAAATTATTATACCAGTTGTGAGCGGTAATGTGCCAATCGACGTAACTGGATCAAAACCTACAAGTGGTGGTATCCAACCTGGTAAGTGATCATATTCTATCGCAAACTCTCGTGAGGATTGACGTTTGAATTTATGGATCCCTCAGCCAATCCTGTTCCAGACAATGCATCGAAACAACACATCGAATCTCAACCAGTTGATGGTGGATTAAAGTCTACTAATGAAGCCACTAAACCCGGTATGTGAAATTAAGCTAGACTATTTAGACTATTAGTTTTCTCACGTGCGTATATCGCATTTCCAGCTTCAGGTAGCAATGTTCCGGTCAACGCGAATGGACCGAACTCTTATGGAGTTGCTCAACCAAGTAAGCAGCTCTCACGTTGCATGAGGGATCCTCTTGAGGAAACTAAAAACAATCTTTATTGATTACTCAGCCAACAGCATTGTGGACAGCACCTCAAAGAGTCAACCTATATCGCAAGCTGGTAGCGGTGCCACCGATGCATCGAAGTCTGGGGACGAGGCAATCAAGCCCGGTACGCGATTCTCTGGAATTGCTTTGTTTCAAATCGTACTCTGACAAGTGTATTTCACTTCACCAGCTGCGGGTCAAACTATTCAAACCAACGTGAATGGACCAAAGTCCACAAATCAAGGTGCTCAATCAAGTTAGCAGCTCTCATGTTGCATGCTTACAAATCCTGTCGAGAAAACTAAAGACCAGCTTTATAATTACTCAGCCAACAGCATCGTGGACAGTACTTCGAAAGGTCAACCTGTCTACCAAGTTGGTAGTGGCGCATCGAGCCCTGGTAAAGAAGTAACCAAGCCTGGTGTGTAGCTCCTCGTCATGAACCATTTTAATTCCTTGTCTGACAAGCGTACACTACTACGACAGCTGTGGATGGTAATATCCCAATTGACGCAACTGGAACCAGTACCACTCGACCCAGTAAGCAGACGTTACCCTTTCTACCATTGGCAATCTAATAGGCTGAAAACAACTTCGCCGAACACTTAGTCAAACCTGTTGCTGACAGCTATTCCAAAGAGAACGTCGGATCTCAACTTGGTCACGGAGGATCAAACTCTGGTGATGGAGCAATCAAACCTGGCGAGTCCTCTCATTTCATTGATCATTTTATACACGATTCTTACCGATGTTCATTGTCACACCAGTCGTGGGAGTTGATGTTCCAGTCAACGCCGATGGATCAAAGTCCGCAACTGGCACTGTTCACCCAAGTAAGTATCGATCATTGCCTCAACCTTTTGCACCTCGAAAAATCGCTGAACAACTGTCGCATGAACTCCTCAGTCGAAACTATTGTTGACAGCACTTCCAAGCCACACGTTGGATCTCAACTTGGAAATGACAGATCGAAATCTCCTGATGCAGCAATCAAACCTGGTCAGCAACAGTTACTCCTACATATCCTCAATGCTGAATCACGAGCGCTCAGATTTTCCCATCCACTATAGACCAAACTGTTCACGTCGATACAAATGCAAAAGACTCTGGAAAGGACCATTCTCAACCTGGTGAGTTACAACTAGCCGATTCATGACAGTACAAAGATAATTGAAGAAAAGTGGGATGGAAGGCTTAGTGAATGTAGGCGTGGGCAGCACTCCGGATGAAAAGGTTCGACCGAAAAGTGGTCATCCCAAACCTTCAGTCGTACATGGTGCATATAAAAACAGGCAGCCTGACTCCAAAGCTAACCAAAGTGGTTCAAAACCTGGTATGTCGTTTTTTTTATTCTCGAGGATTCTGAACTCCTTGTATAATTCTCATAGAGCTGTATAATGCAACAGGATACACGGGAACACCCCTTCTTGGCTTAGATCTTAATGTTGGACCGAAGGCAGGATCTGAACACCACGGCGACAAATCTACACCAGGTAGGTATCTTTTTCCATTGACCTCTCAGGATTTGATTCTTGATGAAGCTAACTCGCAATTCCCCACTGCTATTATGCATTCTCTAGTTTCTGGATCACGTCCTGATTCTCATGTTGGACCGAAGGCAGGATCTGAACACCACGGCGACAAATCTACACCAGGTAGGTATCTTTCGTCATTGACCTCTCAGGATATGATCTTTGATGAAGCTAACTTGCAATGTCCACATGCTATTATGCATTCTCTAGTTTCTGGATCCCGTCCTGATTCTCATGTTGGATCAAAGCCACAATCTAACCATGAAGATGACCAATTCAACCCAGGTATATATCTTTGGCCATAGATTTCTAACAATAGAAGCAAGAATGAAGCTGATACGCAATTGACCGCCCCATTGCATCTGCTAGCTTCCGGGATCTCTTCTGACTCCACTCCTGACACCTAGTTAGTCAACATCTTTCTGCTACATTCTAGTCAAAATCTGGGTGTCGAACATTTCTGACTGATCTTTGCTGCTATGATTATCAGCTCTACTCACGATGGCTATACCAAATCCGACTACTTTTAAGCTAGGTACATATACCCACTGGAGTTTTCATTCATTTTTTTCCCTACCACTTCAAAGACATGATCATACGTAGTTGCCCTGTACCTTACCAGTCGGAAATCCTTAGTATCTTTGTTCTTTCTAGTTCATATACTCTCATTATGTAGCTCGAAATTTCCTTTTCGTATCTTTTAGCGCAAATCATGTAGCCGTGTTTTTCAATGACCAATCTTGAGTCATGCTTTGAAATTTTAGGACAGTGATGCCGTATCCGTACTTCTTTTCTGACTTTTAACTGCACAAATCGTTACAGAGAACAATACCAGAGCTCACTCATCATTTGATTATCCAAGGACTTGCACCAGGTCAATTATGCGGATGAGGGGATGTGAAGCACCTTCCAAGGCTGATCATTTGGAACCGTGGCTAGCATCTTCAAATTTGCATTGTTTGACCTTCCTCCCAAACCTTACGTAGATGTTCCCACGCGCCCATATGATACTTGATCAGACTTTTTACCAACTTTCTATAGTTAACTCCGAGGTGAAGGCAAACTTTGGGTTATATTGGATATCACCTTGGTACTTGGGGAAACACTTAAACAGACAAACCAAACCGATTCCTTCACCTGCCCCCATCAGAGTTTGTCGCGGTCTAAGAGGTTCAGTTAACAGTTCACCTTTCGCATTGCACACTGCACAAACACGCGCTGAAGCTAGTCAAGTTTCCAAAGGTGCTCCCATCTCCCCCATTAGTATGTTTGTGCATGTCACGCCTCAAACATGTCACCATATACACTGATCGTAATACTGTCCGAATCGATAACAATCACACACATATATCAAAATGCTAAGTCAACTTGTGAAACAGACTCCTCATGTTGGCCCATCGAGCGTTGTGAATGTGATACTCAGGACAACAGAAATCGAAGTTCCGCATATTTGAGGATAGACTGAATCACTTTCCGACAATTTAAGAAATGCCATGCGGCTTGCTTGCGAAATGCATCTGGGTATGGAAATTCACGCGCGGTTTCTTTGACCGTAACGAGTTGAGTCCATTTCAAAGGTTTTACCAAAAACTCGCCTACACATCCACTGTTTGTGACTCTCCCTATATCATGAGTTAGTGTGACGCCATAGACTCAGATGGTGCGATTTTTATGCTGACTCCGCTGCTGTGTATTTCCTAGGTACTTTTAACCGAGTCTCGAAGCTCGTTGATCATAGATGCTCGCGATGTGAAGACAGTGAGAAACCCTCACCCACAATCGAATATGCTGATCCACGGAAACACCGAGGGGGGAAACGAAACAGAGGACGAGGTTTGTGACCCTCCTGATCACAAGCATTCACGCTCGAGCATCGTATGTTGACTTAACCTGACCTCCGCGAACATGCTGAGAATTGCACGATCCAACTTCGGAATCAGTACCGAATTCAAGTATTTATGAACTCACTTGGAAATTTTCAGCTTCAAAGTCCACAAGATCGCTCCAAGTAGCTGATGATTCTTTGCTTGGGCTTGATTTGTACAGATTTACTCGATGGTGATAATTGATCAAACGAAACACCGAGGAGTTCCCTCAGTCGGACTGATCATTCGATTCTTGGTAAAAAAACACAGTCATCTCGACACCGATGGCTAGCTATATAAACACCTCTCTAGGTTTCTTTCGACATCATCGCTCATCTATTCATCAGTTTTTCAGTCTTTTTATTTTATCACACTAATTTATCTACATCTCATCTTCTTACGTTAACAACACATATTCACTATTTTTACTATCCTTATTAGCGTATAATCGTAAACAAATACTTTCTTTAACTTATAAGCTCATTTATTATCATCATGCAACTTTCTGTCGCCGTCGTTATTGCTCTTGCTGCCCGTAAGTTTTCAACTGGCTTGTGGTTTTTAGATTACTTCTGACATGCATACTGTCTTTTTTCTCTACAGTTGCCGGTGCTCTTCCTTCTCCTAGGTAAGTTATCACCATGGGAAGCTTGAAATAAACAGATGATGGCGACGCCTATTCACTTCACCTTTGCCCAAATTTTTCGACAGCTACGTTCCTTCTACCCAAAGTGCTCAACCATCCAGCCTTATGGGTCTTTGGCCTGCCTCTGGTATGTTAAGATTACCTGCACTCTTTATGACGAGCTCATCAAGTATCGATTGCATTTCATTTCGCCCTGGACGCATTTGTTATCTTCAGGCCTCCTCGGTGGTTCCAATCATGGTACAGGTGTCAGCGTCAGCGCAGACGTTGTTGCCAAGGTCACCGCAACTGTTGAAGCCGATGTCACCGCTAAGATCAACGCCATTGTCAACGCCAACGTTGATGCCAAAATAGCTGCCTTGGTACGAGCTGATATCGATGCTAAGATCGCCGTTGCCGTGAAGGCCGCCGTTACCGCCAAGGTAGCTGCCGCCGTCCACGTTGGTGTTGGTGACCTTGTCAATGTCGATGTCAAGGCCGCCGTCGATGCCAAGGTTATCGCCGTTCTCACAGCCGATGTTCACGCTAAGGTCCTCGCTGCCGTCAACGCCGATGTTGCTGCTCACGTCGGCGGTCACATCACCGCTGCTGTTCAAGCTGCAGTTGATGCTAAGGTCGCACTTGCTGTTCAAGCTTGTGTTGATGCTAAGGTTGCTGCTGCCGTCAGAGCCCATGTCAATGCCCACGTCGGTCTAGGAAACTTGATCGGTGTCAGCGCAGACGTCTGTAAGTGACTGCGTCTTTTGCTCGTTCTTTGCAATCTTCCTGATAGACATTTATTTCTGCGTTCCCTCTTCCCATCCATTTCTTTGTTTAGCTGTCTCCGCCGACGTCAATGTCATCGCCTCCGTCTCCGCCTCCGTAACTGCTCAAATCACTGCAGAAGTCGATGCCATCATCAAAGCTCAAGTTGGAGTCAGCGCTCAGGTCGCTGCTGCTGTTAGAGCCGATATTGCTGCCAAGGTAGCTGTGGCCGTCCGTGCTATTGTTGATGCCAAGGTGGCAGCCTTGGTATCTGCTGGTGTCAACGCCGACATTGATGACGACGTCAAAGCCAAGGTCAACGCCAAGGTCACTGCTCTCGTTGACGCCGATGTTAAGGCCAAGGTTCTCGCCGCCGTCAAAGCCGACGCCGCTGTCCATGTAGGTGCTCACGTCAGCGCTGCCGTTCAAGCCGATGTCGATGCCAAGATCGCAGTTGCTGTCGACGCCTGTGTCGACGCCAATGTTGGTGCCGCAGTGGATGCTCATGTTGGTGCTCAGGTTGGTGGTAATGGTAAGTCGCATCTCCATTACACACATCTCCAATATTACTCCTATCGTCGGCTTACACTTTTCATTGCAGACCACTACCGTCGATCGCTTTTGAGTTCAGGGGACAAAAAGAGCTCCAAAGGTCTCCTTGGCCTTGGTATACTCTCGCTCTAAGCTGGTGAGCTCATCTGCTTTATACTTCCACCTTAGCAATCCAATACTTACAAATCTGATATTTCCTCATCTTTGCTCCAGTGAACCTTTTCCTTTGATTATTTACAATGTCCCATTGTTTGCTCTTTGTACGACCAACGTGGCAAAGCATTATTGTGATTACTAGTTGCACTGGAAGTTACCTCCCTTAATTTGATGAAATAACACGCCTATCGGTCATTCTCTATGCATTATCAGTTCAATACTGCACCCCATCTTACCTTTACATTTTCCCCAGCCCATTACCGTACACCCCGCGCCTCTGTAGTTGATTTTTCCGAGATGATGTTAACCATTTCGAAATTGAACTGTTCATTGAAATTCACCCTGATGTGGCTGTTGGATCGCTGACGTGCATTCATTTTAATTGCCCCTTCTTATCTTGCCTATCATTTGATTTCCGAGCCAAGTCAGATGCACAATTCATGTCTTGAACTCCATCGACATCTTCTTCACTATCTTATCAATTTATTTTATTTCTTATGCTGACCTTTGTTTCTGATATCCTCTCATTATCTTTAGACACATTACTATTCATATGTAGGTGTCTACTTCGATCACAAGACCGCTGGTTATATAGCATGGTACAATTAAACGACATGGCATGTGTGGGGGGAGCTGGCAGGCCGCGGGTCCTCTAACTTGGTAGGCTCTCTGGGACCTCTTCTCGGGACGCAGCTTCCATAGCCTACGGAGAGGCTCCCTCAGTCTGGCCCAAGAGCTCCATGATTGACAAGAAGATCTCCGCCAAAAATTTCAGATGTCAGTAGATTTTTCTGATTGACATTGACAATCAATTTTCTCTTTTTTTGTCTTTCTATATCTTGCTCATTTTTTTCCAAACAACAGAATCTTCATATAGCGGCTCTATCTGTACCATTTCAATTACTTTCACTACAGTGTGGACCTCACTTTCTCTCAACAACAGTGTTTGGTCTACCCTTCAACTCAGTTTTTCACATCTCCATCTACTCAATCACTATGAGTCTATTCTGCCCACCTGACTCATTATCACCATGTCACTCCGCATTAGCATTTCTTTCTGCTACCTCTTGTTCATCTATTTACCCTGAACAAATGTCCTGAAAATACATGGTCCTTATCATACTTATTCCATACTTGTCTATAAATACATATTGTGGCAACTTTTGACAACATAACTAACTTCCCTTTTTTGAAATACAAAAAGAGTGGTAAATGTGTCAAATGTGCTCTGGATTCTTCCATTGATTGTTGCATGGCAGCCCAGGGACATACTAGCAAGGGGATTTGATCAATGTGCAATGACTGTATCTTGCCTTCTTTGACCATTTTAGCATTATGGATTGCTGTTTTCCTGTGGGTTTTTTCTCCATTTTCTATTGGTCTTTGAATCATATCAATATTTTGACTTATTGTCTAATACAAATTCTCCTAGTTTTGCAATTCCCCAGAATGCAAGTAATGTCACTGTCAACGCAAACCTTTTGTTATGAGCCACTATTAGGCTATGCTTGTACTGAGGTCCTCATGCGCTTATACTGCGCCTGTCAGAGATTTTCCAATCCTCACGTTGCAATCTCATTATAATCACATGGCACCTTTGATTCTCGTAATCTCTTGATCAACACCCCAAGAGGTCCTAATATATTGCAACGTCTATCTCAAGATCAACTGATTACGAAGAATCTCAATCGCTACGAAGTACGAAGAAAGTTAATTAAGAAGGTTAAGAAGGAAAAAGTTTAAAGTAAATAGATTTCTAGATCTGTATCAAAGTCAAAGTTTAAAGTAGTTTAACTCCGCAATCCGAGCAAGTGGAAAGCATTAAAGAATCTCAGGTTACGTCAAGTAGTTCAAAATCTGCAAGTAAAGTTAGTTAAAGTTAGTTTATCACCGAAGGATATTCACCACGCCAAGTTTCAACATACCTAGTTCTTCGACTTCCGAGTCGAGCAACAATTCAAACAAATCCCGCGAGGTCTTCCACGAACTCGAAGAGAACGTGATGGAACCACAAGCCGACCCTACCATGATCAAAGTCTTAAGACAACTAAACCAGTTGTCGGCTCAGTTCAATGAAGTGAAAGCGAGTCTCGCTGAGGAGTCGCAAAGACGCCAAGAAGCCGAGCAACGACTACGGCAATTTGAAACATCCCAGACTTCCAACATGCAGACTGAAGAAGCTCAGGGAAACAACCCCACTCCTACGCCTGTTCAACCAGTTTATGTAAATCAAACGGTTCAAGCTCAACGCCAACCAAAGATGTCAACCCCTGATAAGTTCGATGGGAGCAAAGGAACTAAAGCTGAAGTTTTTATGAACCAATTAGGATTGTACATGCAACTTAATAACCATCTATTTGCAAATGATCAAGCCAAAGTGGCATTTGCCCTGTCGTACACATCTGGTAAAGCCAGTATATGGGGCCAAAGCCTAACCGACCAACTTCTCGACCCAGAACTCTTGAACTCTGTAACCTGGTCTAGATTCACTGATTCGTTCAAGTCCACCTTTTTTGATTCCGAACAAGTTTCGAAGGCGGAGAAGGAGATGCGAGTATTAAAGCAAAAAGGCACTGTATCCGACTATTGGATTAAATTTTCGGAATTATCGATTGTAATCAAATGGCCTCAGGATATTTTAATGTCCCAATTCGAGCAAGGTTTGAAGAAAGAGATCTCTGTCTACATGATCAAGGCAGAGTTCAGCACTGCAGAGGAAATGGCAAAGTACGCGATTAAGTTAGATAACAAAATCAATCGACATACCAACGAACCCAGCTACTCATCTTTAGCTTCAACTTCAAACGCCACCCCATCAGTAGACCCTGACGCGATGGACTGCTCAGCCTACAAATTGAACATCTCAAATGAGGAGTATAAAAGAAGGGGAACGGCCAGAGCGTGTTATAAGTGCAGAAAAACTGGTCACTTTATTGCGGATTGTTTTGTTGGTAGACGTGGAAAGACGTGGAATTCAGGTTTTAAGGGTCATTCGGTAGAGAGTAAATTGAAAGCGAGAATAGCTGAACTTGAGGGTCAATTAGGAGATAGTAGTAGTGTTGTAGAAAGTGTTAGCAAGGCAGAGTCATCAAAAAATGGCAATGCTCGGGAGTGAAAGTTGTGCCTCCCCCGAGCAACCTATGTATGGAGAAGTTAGGAGATATTAGTAGTTTAGAAATGAAAGATACACGAATTATAGATCTCATTCACTTAACTGATCCATCCCTTGCCACAACAATTTGTGCCCGTGCCCTCATTGATAGCGGAGCAACTCACGAAGCAGTAAGCAGTGCGTTTGTGAAGAAACACACCTTGACCACATCCCCGCTTGAAGAGCCAAGAAAAGTGACAGGCTTTAGCGGGCACTCCTCTCACATCAATGACGTAGGAGAATACATCATCAACAACGAAGACTCGACAACCACATTCATAATCACTGATTTACGCGACAAATACGACCTGATTCTGGGAATGCCATGGATAAAGAAGAACCATGAGCGCATTGACTGGAACAGAAGTTGTTTAAGAAGTCAAGTTAGCAGCATTGCGGTCATTGATTCAGCTCCGCCTGAATCAATGATTTCGTCTGGTCCGAAAACAGCCTCAATGGTATCAAAGGAGCCTGAAAGGCACGCTAGGAACCGTGACGAGGGGGTGGAGTTCAAGTTTAACTCATTCACACCCCCGCAATGTGAGTACGATTTGAGCCACAATCCATTGCCACTTGAAACAGGTCACAAGCTTCTTTCCCCTGTAGAATTACCTCTTGAATTAACTGGACCTCAAGAAGCAAGCTTGAATTCGACACAAAGCATTGCAGTATCTTCAAGTCCGAAAACCCCTCCGAGAAACCAGATGAGTGACACGGAGGAAGCTAGGAACTATGAAGAGGGGGTGGAGTCAAGTAAAATTGTCTCACAAACACCCTTGCAATGTGAGTCTGCTACCGTTTCTGTACCTCTAGTTGAAAGAACAGGTTGCAATCAAACTCCTCTCCTGAACAACAGACAAGCCCCCACGGTAGCGACACGATCTACGAGGCTATGGCAGGAAGCAAGAAAAATCCGTCCTCCAACTCTAACGAAGTCGTATGCAAGTATTGCTGCCGCCAAAACTTCGTGGAACTTCTCAGCCAAACTAGCAGCTGAGAAATCAAAGGATGTGAAGGTGAAGACTGCTGCAGAACTTGTACCACGCACGTATCATGAATATCTTGACATGTTCGAAAAGAACAAGTCCAACGTGTTGCCTCCTCACCGTCCGTACGACTTCAGGGTCGACTTGGTACCAGGTGCGACCCCGCAGGCAGGAAGGATTATCCCGTTATCACCTAAAGAAAACGATGCCCTGAATGAGATGATTGAGAAAGGGTTAGCAAATGGAACAATTTGTCGAACCACCTCTCCTTGGGCAGCTCCCGTCCTCTTCACTGGGAAGAAAGATGGAAACCTGCGTCCCTGTTTTGACTACCGCCGACTAAATGCGCTCACTGTAAAAAACAAGTACCCGTTGTGGTGATCAATTTATGGGATCAATTAAAAAATTCACAATTACCAGTTTACCAGTTTATTAGCAGGATTCAGCAGGAAAGAAAATTCGAAATGGAGGTTTTTGATCAATTGAAGCTCTTGTAGGCTTATGTATTGGTCATTAGGTCAACATTACATCATTTTATTTCACATTATATATTAAGATCATTATAGTTTACTTACAAATTTATTACAAAAAGAAAGAAAGAAAAACATAAGAAAAATTCGAAATTATAGGTATAAAGGTTGGAAAATGGTTTTTAGGTTAGTAAAAATGAAGTTATGGGTATTATGAGGTTAGAATATGAAAGAACAACATTATATGATACTATGACAATTTTAATCTTCAAGGTTGATAAGTAGAAACAGAAGTTATTAGGAAAAAAGCACTTTTTCGAAGTTGGTAAACAAGAGGTACACGTGTAGTTTGGTTGTGTAATAGTGGTAGTGATGGAATTTAAGGTTGCCAAGAGGATTTTCCGGGATTTTTAAGGCTATAGATGATGATGTCATATTACATGAGCAAGAAAAAGATAGTAGTAGCTGTGAAAAGTGAAGAAAATGGGTGAAATTCGTGGAAAATGGAGGTTTTCAGCTAATTACATATGTCAAACGACGTCAGA